GGTAAATATGGTGGACAAGCCAACAGTTTAAAACATGGAATAATACTCTTATTACATTATAATTCAACTTTTGGTGTTTTTCAATCCTGTGCCATTGTTTTAAGTTAACAAATGTTCGGTTTTGCTGTTACTTAAAATGGGTTCTCAACCCACCAATGGGGTTTGAAAACCTGTGGCCTGAAAATGAATCGGTTGGCCCAGCCACAGTGGCTTACACCTGTAATCCCAGCATTTTGGGGGCCGAGCGAGGCGACTCACCCGGGGGTTCAGGAGGTTTTGATGACCCAGTCTGGCAACATGGTGAAAACTCGGTCTCATTACTAAAAATACAAAAATTAGGCCTGGGCGTGGGTGGTGCGGTGCCTTGAATCCCAGCTTACTCAAGGCGGGGGGCTGAGGCAGGAGAATTGGTTGAACCTGAGAGGCAGAGGTTACAGTGAGCTGAGATTGTGCTACTGCATTCCAGCCTGGGTGACAGAGTAAGACTCTGTCTCAAAAAAGAAAAAAAAATCAATCTCTAGTGTACTTGATCCCTGTGAAGCAAAAGCCGTTTGCCTGGGACCATGTGGGTAGTTAATAGCAGGTGTTGGATCAGAACCTAGGACTCCTCCCCAGTGTTTTTCCTACCCCAGATGACATGTTTCCATTCTTTCTTTCAAACCACATGAACAGAGTAATTAGCATATACTTCTAAAATGATTTAATTTTTCTGACTTCTCCCCTTGCCAGCACCCAAGTTGAATCTGACTGTGGTAGCAAATCGCTAAGTCTGCATTTGCTGATGGCATCTGTCCACTATCAGGGGACGTCTTTCTCCCCACAGAGGCTACCCTGCCTTTATATGCCACTCCGAATTTTCCTCTGTGTACTGGCTCTGCCTAATTGATGCCATCAGCTGAGCTAACAGAAAATTCTGTGCCCTTAAGAGTGTTTTTGTCTCTGAATATGGCAATTTTATGCATAACATCTCCATTTTGAAAGTTGTTTTTTTCTTAAATGAAGCCTAAGTAGCCTTTTCTAAGTAAAAAAACAAAAAAGCATGTAATTGTTTTTGAGAGTAACTTTAAACATTTTTGTTTCACATAAGGCAAAAATAAGGAATTCAATGCATTCCTGCCTAATGTATGCTGAAGCGGCTGCCTCCCTGTGTCAGCTCTTGGCTTCATTGTAAGAGCGTTTTATAATTTCTATATTTATTCATTCATTCACTTAACAAATAGCTACTGTTTCCCTGTGCCCTGCCCTGGCCATACAATAGCCCAGCCTGCAGGTGGAGAGACAGGTTATCAAGTGATTCCACAAATAACAAAAGCAGTTGCAAACAACTGTTTTTAGAAGCATTTTTTTCTTCCCCATAGGAACAAAGATTTGTTTTCATTACATTTTCAGACTTCCCTTTCCTTGCGTGATGTCCATGTAGCTCTCACATACTATATGGGCAGAGGTTACGCCTGTTTTAACAGGCATCAAATGCCAACACAGATGGTGAATTATTAATTCCTTTGTTATTTCTAGATGCTCATGTTTTCCTCATTTGACACTGAGCACCTGTTGACTCCTTCAGGAAGCACAGGTCTTTTGAATCCCTATTCTCCCTCTTTCCTTTCATAGAAAGAGCGGGATTTAGAATTGGCCGCTCGCATCGGCCAGTCGTTATTGAAGAAAAACAAGACCCTAACCGAGAGGAACGAGCTGCTGGAGGAGCAGGTGGAACACATCAGGGAGGAGGTAAGACACTGGAGGCCGAGGCTTCCAGAGGGCCCCGCCACAGGCCTGGGAGCCGTGGGCATGGCTGAGGGAGATGATAGAATGGGGTTCTAGTTGGAAGGGCCCTCCTGAGGGCACAACCGCGGCCTGAGCCCAGAATTGTCTGTTCTGAAACGGTCACCTGGGGACTGAAAGCCACCTTCCTGCAGCTCCTGCTGCTGCTTGTGTCCCTTTCTTTCCTCAGACCATGTGGATGGGATGGCTCAGGGCGGGCACGGTCCTTACTCAGTCGTTGGTCTGTGTGTCATGTTGGGCCAGCCACAGTCCTTGTCCTCAGAGAGTCTAGACTGTAACCATGCAGGCTGATTAAGATGCTCCACGCTTGGCAGAAGGGCACCCAGGCTAACACGACAACGAGCAGGGGTTCCTGAGTCTGGCTGGGCTTGGGCCGCTGGAGAAGGAGCCCTGTTAGGAGGCCAGCTCGTGTACACAGAGGAAAGTGGTGACTCACATTCATCGTTACAGTATAATTTTGTGTGTGTAAAACAAAACAAAAATAGCCTATTGTTTTCATGATAGAAACCCTCTTATTTCCATGATATCGATCTTGGCTAATGGACATCAGTGGTGAGAGGAAGGGCATGGAGCTTTTCGATTTATCTTAGGGTACCTAGGTTTAGAAGGAATGATACTGATTTTCTGGAAGGGACGTGGTGTGGACAGAGGAGAGCGGCTGTGGAGTCAGGTGGGGTTGCTAGGGCAAGGATAAGAAGCTTAGAGCCAGGCCCTACTTAGTAGCTTCTTTTCTGTCACCCTGTTCTTCTAACAATAAATTTTAACTGTGACAACACTCCTTGTTTCTTTTCCACTTTTCTTTTTCCTTTTTCTTTCATTTTTTTGAGATGGAGTTTTGTTCCTTGTCACTCAACTGAGTGGCATGGTTGCGGCTCCCAGCTTCACTGCACCTCCACCCCCCGGGTTCAAAGCTATTCCTGCCTCAGCTCCCACAGTAGCTGGGATTACAGGTGCCCACCACCACACCCAGCTATCATTTTTTAGCATTTTTGGTAACACGGACGGGGTTTGCACCCAATGTTGGCAGGTTGCGTCTGGACTCCTGACTTCAGGTGAATCCTCCCTAACCTCAGGCCCCAAAGTGCTGGGGACTTAAGGCGTTAGCGCACCGATTTTGCCCAGCTTTTTTTTTTTTTTTTTTTTTTTTTTTTGCAGAGTAAGGTCTCACTTGTGTCACTCAGGCTGATGGCAGTCGGTTGAGACCACAGCTCACTGCGGCCGTTGACCTCCTGGCATCCAAGTGACCTCCTCCACCTTCAGCCTCTCAAAGTAGCTGGGACTTAAGACATGTGCCAAACCCCTGGCCTGCTAATTTTGTGGTTTTTTATAGAGAAAAAGGTTTCACCATGTGTCCCCAGGCTGGTCTCAAACTCGTGGGCTCCAGTGTCCCACCTGCTTGGGTCTCCCAAAGTGCTGGGATTACAGGCGTTAGGCCCTGTGCCTGGCCTCTTCTCCCTTATTTTCTATCAGAAACTTTCTTAGTGGGAGTGGATGCCCTTGTTCACGTTCCTAAGATGTATTCACCCTTTTTCCTTGTTAGAACTATTCCCAGTACATTGTTGTCTGGGTTTAACAGTAGTTTTCATATGATGAAGCATAGTTGCCACTATATAAGAAAAGTTTTAATCCTGGGCTTTCTTTAAGATGTAAGAAGAGAGAATGCTATTGTATTTTAGGAGAAATAAAGTGATTCCTGCATTCCCTGCCCCCAGCATCATGACCTGGATTCCCTCTCATGTGACCGGTGGGAAAGCATGCTGGGTTAGCCTGGCCCCCTACCAGCCACTTGTGAGCAGCGGGATATGCCACCCAGTAACTCACAAATGGTCACCCGTCAGCTTCTTCACTATACTGTTCTTGCTTGGGACAAGCCTCACCTTGCGCAAAGAGGATCCAACTCTCTGGGAGTGGAAATGCCTTTTTTCCCCCTCAGAAGAACTTTGAATTTGAAAGCTATAACATGTTTCCCTTTGGCATATTATTAAATTATCAGTCTAGGTGTCGAAGTTAAAACTTCTATGCACATAAAATTGTCTTCTCCATGGAAGACATAATAATTCACTCTGTTATATAGAAAAGTTGCAATAAACCATAGACCCTAAGTCAAATTATAAACAAAGAGTTAAAACATAACTGCAGTTCTTCTTATAGCACTGGTTCCCTGTTCATCAGTACTGCAGAGTGAAAGGGCAAGTGAAAAATTGTACAGTACAACTTTATTTAAAAACCTTAAGTACAAATCAGGGTGATTTGCAAAGCCATCTCAGCAGGAGTCAATATAGCCATTCCCTGATGGTTGCCTCTTTTCTTCCTGTGTCTGAAATTCCTATCCAGTGAGCATTGAGCATGGAATGAGGTCCGGCTGGGCTTGCCAGGAGCCTTATGAGGGTGCATCCCAGAATGGGGCTGTGTGGTCATCCAAGTGTGAGAGCAAGGGTCGGTGAGCTGCCTGTATTGGCCCGTGCAGAGCTGGCATCTCCAGGATCCGATTTGGAGTTGGGGTTTGGTTCTGGCAGAAGTGAATGAATGGCCTTTTCTTTCATGTAGTAACATGATCAGTTTTTCTGGCTATTTGACCAGCTGGTCATCTGGCTACTTCCAAAGCCCCTGAACAGTCGCATCCCCACAAGCATCATTCTTTTTTTTTTTTTTTTTGGAGACCAAGGTCATCGGCTCTGTCGAACCAGGCTGGAGTGCAGTGGCGTGATCTCAGGGCTCACTACAAGCTCTGCCGTCCCGGGTCCACGCCATTCTCCGCTGCCTCAGTCTCCTGAATAGCTGGGACTATACAGACGCCCGCCACCATGCCCAGGCTACTTTTTTTGTATTTTAGTAGAGACGGGGTTTCACACCATGTTAGCCAGGATGGTCTCCATCTCCTGACCTTTGTGATCTGCCGCCTCTGGCCTCCCAAAGTGCTGGGAATTACAGACGTGAGCCACCGCGCCAGGCGCATCATTCTTTTTTTTGAGATGGGAGTTTCTCTCTGTTGCCCAGGCTGGATTGCAGTGGCATGATCTCCCCTCACACTTCAACACTCCGCCTCCCGGGTTTCAAGCGATTCTCCTGCCTCAGCCTCCTGAGTAGCTGGGGATTACAGGCCACAACCACCACCAACCACCGGCTAATTTTTGTATTTTCAGTAGAAACAGGGTTTCATCATGTTGGTCAGACTGGTCTTGAATTCCTGACCTCAGATGATCTGCCCGCCTCGGCCTCCCAAAGTGCTGGGATTACAGGCGCCAGCCACCGTGCCTGGCCCCCAAGCATCATTCTAGTCCCCTCTCTGCTCTTCCCTGTACCAAAGTAAAAATGATGAATTTAGACAGCTTTCTATCAAAAAGTAATTGTATTTCTTTTAAATAGATCAAATGAAAGCCTATTTTTTTGAATAGCACAAAATCAGTTTAAATGCTTTCCTTTTCAATGGTGAATTTTAAGAAAAATATTGTCACTAAGTGGTAAGTATTAGAATGTGAGTCGGGACGATAATCACCTTTTGGGAAGCAAATGATGGGCCCCCGTTCTGCTTGTGCAGGTGTCTCAGCTCCGGCATGAGCTGTCCATGAAGGATGAGCTGCTTCAGTTCTACACCAGCGCTGCAGAGGAGAGCGAGCCCGAGTCCGTGTGCTCAACCCCGTAAGTCACCAGAGGGCTGTATTTCTGGAGGCCAGAGCACAGGCTGACCGCTGTTGATGTCCTTGGAGTCACCTAGACAGGGTCACCTTCAGCAGCAATGGAGGTCAGCTGCTCTCAGCCTTCTCTGGACCAAGCATCTCCAAGTGCCTCAAACAGATTGATTTTACTATTTTAGCGGGACATGGATGGACAGGTTTTTAGTTTTCCTTTTCCTGGGTCTTACTGCTTATTTGTCAATTTAGATTGATTTGCCCTGGCACATGAGCGGATAATGGGTTAGGCTCTGCTGTTGGAGGCAATTCAGGGTTCTGGAGCCAGAGGTGCTGTGGCAGGTCCTTGGGACAGAAGGCATGGTGTCTTCTCTGAGAGTCAGCAGATCCTCATGTTGGGAGCGTGAACTCTAGAGCCCAGTGGGCTGCTTGCAGATCTTGGCTCTGGGACTTACTAGCTGCACGCTGTTGGCTAGGTCACTTAACCTTTGTACTTGTTTTGTCATTTGTAAAATGGAGATAACAGTAGAACTTAGGTCACAGAGTTATAAGCATTAATTGAGTTAAAACATACAGAATACTTAACAGAGTTGTTGGCACATACAAATGTATTATGAGTATTAAATGAACTCCCAGACATCCTGAAATTGTGTAGGCTTTAAACAGAGTTGGTCCCCTGAATTCTGAGGTGATGTGGCAAGTTGTGGATAAAGGGTTGAGATGTGGGTTCTGAATTGGTGGTGAGCCTGTGCACTGGGAGCGCTGTCTTCCTGGGGCTGGGAGAAGGGTCTGGTGGGTCATTGTCCTTCCTGCAAGCCCTTCTTTGTGTCTCTAACGTGGTTTGCCAGGTGGTGGGAGGAAACGCGTCTCCCTAGGTTGTGAGCGTACTTTCTCCCCTAGGTTGAAGAGGAATGAGTCGTCCTCCTCAGTCCAGAATTACTTTCATTTGGATTCCCTTCAAAAGAAGCTGAAAGACCTTGAAGAGGAGAATGTTGTACTTCGATCCGAGGTGATTTGCCCTCCCTGCTCCTGCCCCTGCTGGAAGGGAGGTGCCCCCATTCACCTTATCCGGCCAGGACAGCCGTGGTTAAGTGCCCTCCTCAAAGGTGGCAGTCCGTGAAGAGCTGTACCAGGCGCTCGGCAGACGTGCCTCCTCTGTGCTCTGGGCACTGCCTTCCAGCCCAACACATGCCTCCCTGGCTGGGGCAGGCGAACCTGGTGAATGACATGGTGTGTGGACCGGGAAGAGTCGGAGATCCCCTCCTTCACAGTCATTCCTGCAGTGAGGTCTCCCCTGGTGTTCTCCAGGTCTGACCACAGCACCTGTGGAGAAACCCAGCCTTGTTTTCATGCTGCCACAGATCAGATGCTCAAGGAAGTAGTCCATGGGTGCTCAGAGAGAGCCATTTTCTTTTTTTTTTTTTTTTGAGATAGAGTCTTGCTGTGTCACCCAGGCTGGAGTACAGTGGCGCGATCTCAGCTCACTGCAACCTTCGCCTCCCAGGTTCAAGCTATTCTCCTGTCTGAGCCTCCTGAGTAGCTGGGACTACAGGTGCCTGCCACCATGCCCGGATAATTTTTGTATTTTTAGTAAGAGATGGGGTTTCATTATATTGGTCAGGCTGGTCTTGAACTCCTGACCTCAGGTAATCCACCTGCCTCGGCCACTCAAAGTGCTGGGGTTACAGGCATGAGCCACTGCGCCTGGCAGAGCCATGTTTCTTAAACAATTAGCTCAAAAAGGTTGAGCTGAGGCAACTTGGGGACTCATGCTTTTGAGTTTTTTTTTTAATTGGCAAGGCATTGTGCCTAGCATTTTGCCCACGTTATTTATTTATTTTTTTTGGAGTTCGCAACAGGGCTGAAAGCTGGTTACTTTGATTCTCATTGGAACAGGGGGCCCCAGGCTGCTAGGTGTTTTGATAACCCAAGGTCATTCGAGTGAGTAAATGACAAAGCTAGGATTTGCAAGTCTGTGACTCTAAGCCCCTTGTTTTTCACCTTCATGCACTGCCCCTCTCTAGAAACAGCGATGCGTGCAAATTTAGTACTGTTTGTCTTAATTAGTGGTGAGTTTCTGTCCTCTAGCCAAGGTATGGTGTGGTACAGTATGGCCCTGTTTATCAGGCCCCTCAGGTTGGAGCTGTGTGCCCACCTAGGCTGGCCCTGGATTCCTGAGAGCCCCTTAATAGTGCAGACCGTCAGTCAACTTGAACTTGCCCACACCTTAGTAAGATCTTCATGTCCCATCTGAACAAGATGCTCTTCTGCACATCTTGTTCTCTTAGACCTCACCTCTTCCAGCCCCTTGTTCACTGATGGGTCATGTAAACCCAGATTGACCAACGAGGCTGCCCAGGTTTCCTCTGCCAGCCAGTAGCTGAGCAAGGCAACAGGCCTGTGCTGCCCATTCTGAGTCCAGTGCTGCCTCTTCCAGTGCCTGCCTCAGGTAAATGCTCCAGCCCCGGGCACCCAGCAGCTCATCCAAAGCCAGCCAAGGGAATCTGATCCCAGCTACAGATTCCTGCTACCCCAAATGCATTTTCTGAAGTGTAATGTTTTTATGGGGCCAGGACTGAGGGCTCAGAGACACTTCTGTCTAACTGGGGCTCTTGCTTGCTTGCTTGCTTGCTTGCTTGCTTTCTCTCCCTCTTTCTCTCTACCTCTCTCTCTCTCTCTCTCTCTCTCTCTCTCCCTCCCCCCCCCACCTCCTTCCCCTCTCCTCCCCTGCTCCTTCCTTCCCTTCCCTCCCTCCCTTCCCTCCCTCCCTCCCTCCCTCCCTCCCTTCCTTCCTTCCTTCCTTCCTTCCTTCCTTCCTTCCTTCCTTCCTTCCTTCTTCCATGGGGGTCTTGCTCTGTCACCCACGCTGGAGTGCAGTGGCGTGATCTTGGCTCAAGCAGCCCTCCCACCTTGGCCTCCCAAAGTGCTGGGATTATAGGTGTGAGCCACTGTGCCTGGTCTCAGGGCTTTTTCTTAGGGCCTTCAGATCTCTATCATCTCACCCTTTTCAGCCAGGGCAAGTTGTCCAGAGTCCTGGGATGGCTCTTGTGCCTCTGCATTTTAATGCTTTTGTGTTAGACCTTGTTCTTACTAAGCTTGAACACAACAAGTTTAACTCCAACTTGGGACCTCATGGTTCAGTGCCTGGCACATAGTAGGTGTTAGGCATTCCTGTGTGGTTATCCTTAGGATGCTTGCTGTGGGCAGGGTAGGGTCCTAGGTACTGTGCAGGTCACAAAGCATCCATATTTATGAGCCAGGACAGCCACAGATAACAGATACAATGATAGGGTGGTGGTGTTGACAGTGTTTTTAACAGACCAAGCTGTAGAGCGCCTGTGCCCATAGCTTTGTGTGGCGCCCTCTAGTGTTGTGCATTTTTCAGGTTTTCAGCTTTGAGAGTGCACATCCGTTAAGCTGGGAATTCAGATGGACTTTCTGTATTTGAGGGTATGATGGGTGACAGATGGGGAAATGCTGAGGGCAGCTTCCCAGACCCCGGTTAGCCCTTGCTGTATGCCTCAGCCCTTGCCTGCACCACCAGGCCAGGTGAGAATGTGGGGCCTCTGACCTGGGTCTTGCCCACAGGCCAGCCAGCTGAAGACAGAGACCATCACCTATGAGGAGAAGGAGCAGCAGCTGGTCAACGACTGCGTGAAGGAGCTGAGTATGTCCCCGCACCGCTGTCTTCTTACTTCCTTGCATCTGCTGTCATGACTAGACAGATTTGCGTCAGCCTTGCTAAAGTGCAGTCTCCTGCCAGCCTATGGCTCAGCAGCATTTTTCTTAAAACTAGAGGCCTCCCCAACCTCGCGTGGCACCCCCTCTCTATTATTTAGTGCTAAGTTGTCAGCTATGTATTATCTCAGTTTATCACTGAGGTGGAGATTTAAATTTAATTTTGGCTTTATACTGAAATATTGGATTTTTTTTAATGCCTAAGTTAGGCCCAGCTACAGAAACCTGTGTTGAAAATGTGGAAGAACAGGTTACTACCAGTAATTTGATTTGTGAAAGTTGAAGCCAGAGTTCTCACCTTTGCAAATAAATATTTCTCTCCTCTTCTTCATTTTAAGTTTACAAGTTAAGACAAAAGGTCAAAACACTAAGTATTTTGCATTTTAGCAAAATACTAAGTAACGAAACACACCTCATGTTCAAATCTAGTCAAATGAGTTATGGCTCTGAATATGGGTTGAAAACTCCAAGGGAATTGCGCTGTGCAGTCAGTAGTTCCTTTCTAGAACTGGGTGCAGCAGCGGGTTTCTGTTTAGTCACAGGGGGTGCTCATGTGTGGAATGTGAGGATCTGGCCAGATGCACTCATGTTTTGTTTGTCACTTTCTCTCTGACCCCCGGAGCCTCCCTGATTTGTTCTGGGGAGACAGCCTCGGTTGGTGGGCTTGGGGCCCTACACTGAGCTCAAGAGTGCTATCTAATGGAGTGAGGTTCTTTTTCATAACTGATTGAGCCTTGAAGAAGCTGCTTTGCTTCTCTGTGTGGGAAAATGGTCACTATGAGTTCCTTCCTGCACCCTCCCCACTCCATGCTATCTTTTAATAAGGATGGTTTTTCTTGTGAAAACCACAAAGAAACCATTCTCTCTGGGTCTGCATGTGTGGTTGTCTGACTTCCTCTTGTGATTGTTGTTTCTTTGTCAAAGGGGATGCCAATGTCCAGATTGCTAGTATCTCAGAGGAATTGGCCAAGAAGACGGAAGATGCCGCCCGCCAGCAAGAGGAGATCACACACCTGCTATCGCAAATCGTTGATTTGCAGAAAAAGGCGAAAGCTGTAAGGCTTCTCTGTTTATCTGGCTGATATGGCAGTGGCCGTGCTGAGATGGGGAAGGGACATTTACTCCGGAAGACAGTGCCCTTTAGTTTCAAATCTTAGTAGTTTGTGTTACCCCTTTGCAGAAAAAGCTTCGTGGACTCAGTGGTATAAAACTGATTACCCTGAATTGGTGATGAGTCTTATTTGTGACCTGTTGTCTCCTAAAATTATATTGAATTCATTAAAAAGATGTTGTAAATATGGACTTTTGCAGTTTAACTTATGGATCATCTAGTCTGGTATTTGTTTTTACACAGTGCACCAGCTATGTGCTGCAGTAGAGCAGTATCCTCTTCAGATTTAAGAAGAGGCAGCAAAATGGACTTTGCTAGTAGTGTGGGGTAAAATGCTTCCAGAGAGCTTTGGAAGTGCGGGGTGGGGGGGTGGGCTATAGAGAATGAATGGGGATATAGGAAAGACTTTACCTTCAAAATTATATAAAAAACAGAACTTGAGTATAAAATGAGCATATCCTTGTAGAAAGTGATGATGAGTTCATAATGGATTAGGTTAATACGAGGGAAAAAATTGGACTTATCTAAGTATCTTAGAAAGTGATCTATCTTTGCCATGCTTTAGTGTGCAGTTGAAAATGAAGAACTCGTCCAGCATCTGGGGGCTGCTAAGGATGCCCAGCGGCAGCTCACGGCCGAGGTGAGCACCTCTAGCACCTCTCCCTCATTCCTTCAGTGCCTCTGATTGCAGCGAAGGTGGATTCACCTTCCCAGACAGCTTTAGTCACGTCCGTTGCAACTACCATTTTTATTTTGAATTTCATTTCATTTTTATTCTTGGGATAGTAAACTCAGTTGCACCTTGATTCTGTGCCCACTGACACTGTTATTGGTTATGGGCACCTGTGGAGCAGGGCTCTATACCAGCTGAGCCTGGCACGCGCAGGTGCCCGAAAATTGTTCAAAGAAATGAAACAATACAACACAGAGCACTCTGGGAGAGGAATCTCACAGGTGTGGCTTGAAATATGAGTGTGACGATTTTCTTTTTCTTTCTCTCTTTTCCTTTTTTTGAGATGGGGTCTCATTCTGTCACCCAGGCTGGAGTACAGTGGCATCAGTGTGGCTCACCGCAGCCTCAACTTCTCCAGGCTCAGATGATCCTCCTGAGTATCTGGGACTACAGATGTGGCTACCACGCCCACCTAAGTTTTGTGTTTTTTTTCTTGGAAAGATGAGGTTTTGCCATGTTGCCCAGGCTAATCTCAACTTCTGTGTCCAAGCGAACCACCTGCCTTGCTGTCCCAAAGTGCTGAGATTACAGGTGTAAGCCATCATTCGTAGCCTGATTTTTCTTTTGCGTGAAGTTGGTTTTGTTTCATTTGCCCATTGTTGGTATTTTAGAAGATTTCTGAGTCTGTAAGCTTGCCTCAAGTCAAAGAAGAAGCAAGCCTTTGAAAATTCTGTTATTTGGCCACAGACCCACAGGGCAGCTGGTTCCACATGTGCTGGGAACTCCATTAGATTGCTGTGTCTTTCTGGCCCTCTGATGGGCAGATGTGTGTACACCTGGGTACTCAGGAGATCCTGACCCTCTGTGTCTTTCCTGCCTGCAGCTGCGTGAGCTGGAGGACAAGTATGCAGAGTGCATGGAGATGCTACATGAGGCGCAGGAGGAGCTGAAGAACCTCCGGAACAAAACCATGCCCAATACCACATCTCGGCGCTACCACTCGCTGGGCCTGTTTCCCATGGTGAGCTGTGCTTTCTTCCCAGCCAGAGGGCACCAGGGGTCCTGGTGATAGGAGGGAGCACAGTATCTGACATTCTGGCCACTGGAGTTAGGTGTTTACAGTTCGGTTCTCATTTTACAGTTCAGAAATCAAGGACACTTGAGTCTGACTGGTGGTTTCTTAACTACGTAGGACAAATTGGTTCTTTATTTTCTGTTCCTCTAAATCTGTTGTCTTTTCTACTCCTGCCATTAAAAGATAAATTTAGTAGGAACTTTCTTTGCTGGGAACCTCAGGTATTTGGAAGATCTGACTCATACAGGTTGAGGATCTCTAATCCAAAATGCTTCACAATCCAAAACTTCCTGAGCATTGACATGGTGCTCAAAGGAAATGGCCATTGGAGCATTTTGGATTTCAGATTTTCAGATTGGTGTGTTCAGCTGGCATGTATTCTGGAACTGTCCCGAAATCTGAAGCACTACTGGTCCCAGGTATTTTGGATAAGGGATATTCAACCTGGTCCTGATTTTTTTTTTTTTTTTTCTGACCTTACTGGACTGTGCGGCTATTTTGGCCTCACAAAATTCTGGAAGTACATTTCAGAATTTTTAAAATGCCATTACAGTTCTGCTGATTCTTTGTATGCTTATTAATCATTCTCTTGGTGACTTTCAGTATCTGTGATCTGAAAAAAAGAATTATCTCTGTACTTAGGCTGGTAATTTTCTTGCTCTCTCTCACTCACTCTCCTTTGTTTTCTCTCAAAAATGGAGCTAAGGTCTCACTCTGTTATCCAGCCTGGTCTTGAACTCCTGGCCTCAAGTAATCCTTTCACCTCAGTCTCCCGAAATGCTAGGGGTACAGGAGTGAGCCACCGTGCCCAGCCACATTATTCATATTATTTTACTGCAGTCGAATTTTTTAGCCCTGGCCTTATTTGCTTCATGTGCTTTGCGGGAACATGATTGAGAAGGGGATTTTCCAGGAGGTTAATCTCCTTGTGGAAGTTGGGCAACCCAGGGCTGAACCCCTTGGCTGATCATTGCGCTGTGAGGAAGCGTTATCGGGGATTGAGCTTCCTCATGTTATCTTCTGTCAGACTGAAGCCCCTGGAAGGTGGGGACCCTGTCTTCTTTGTAACGTTTCCCCTTTCCCCTTTTAATACTCTGTACCTAGCACGGCGCTTGGTATGTTGTAGAATTGTAGACATTTAATAGGCATTATGTTTGGATGGATAGATTGACAGATAGACAATGGCCTAAAGAGCAAACTCAAGAACTCCTGTATATTCTGGCTCTATTTCCATGGTTTGATGAAATGCTAAATGCTCTCTGAGGAGAGAAGAGCTTTTAAGAGAAACTCCCCCAAGTGAGATAGGAGTGGATGGCTGCATACATGCTTGTGAAATTCTGTCCCTTCTGAAATTGCCCTTTTCCTTGGAGCTCTTTCCCTTCAGCCCCCATTGCTGACCCCCAGCAGATACTGTCCCCATCCCCCACTCCTTATTGTCTGGCCCACTTTCCCTAAATCATGATTTATTTTCTTCTTTGCTCTCATGCATCAAAGTCAAAGTCAGGCTAGAACAGCCAGCACTCCCTCTCCCCCGCAAGAAGCTTCACTGAAATCTGAGGGAAACAAAAAGACATATAACATAGTCAGCTTTCTAAGACACAGATGGGTGATCCAGTGATTCCAGGAATCTCAGTAAAAGCAGCAAAGAATATTCAGTCCCCCAGGTTCTTTGATCTAGTGCTAACCACACTTGGCTCTCACGCTGGCCTGTGTAGCTTTGCAGTCTCCTTGCCTGAGTTCCCTCCTTCCTGGCTTCTCATCTTGGTGCAGTAAGCTCCTGGTGCCATCTTGTTTCCTGGGCACCCAGGATCCACTCCACTGCCTTCCCCACTCTCAAGGACAGACCTGTCTTTAAAAACTAAACTATTGCGTGAGAAAAGTCGAATCGAAATTTGCATTTCAGTTTCTTCTGGAGGGATTCTCAGCTTTCATATTTGCTGAGGTAAAGTTTTTGTTTGCCTTTTTCTGTAGCTCTTGGCACAGCCCAGTTTTTGAAGATGGCTAATTTTAAAGTGTATTATGCATTAAAGGTATTTAAAGCAGTCTAAAGATTGCACCATGCAGAACACCCAGATCTGCCTCTTTTGCTCCTAGCCATTCTAATTGCTGAATAAAACAGTGAGTAGCAGTTTTTGCATAACTGTGTTCCCAGTTCTCTTGCCTTATGGCAGGAGTTCATCTGGGATCCACAGACCAAATTTGAGGGGGCTTGTGAAATTAGTTCCTAATTGTACTCAGTATTTCCTTCCTTTATGAAGGTCACCACGTCACAGTGATATTAGCAGTGCTTGTGACTTTGTCATCATTAGAAATCACAGGTATTTTTATGGCACATGTCTTTTTTTTTTTTGAGATGGAGTCTTGCTCTGTCATCCAGGCTGGAATGCAGTGGCATGATCTCGGCTCACTACAACCTCCCTCTCCTGAGTTCAAGTGATTCTCCTGCCTCAACCTCCTGAGTGGCTGGGACTACAGGCATGTGCCACCACGCCCGGCTAATTTTTTTTTTTTTTTGTATTTTTAGTGGAGATGGGGTTTCACCATGTTGGCCAGGCTGGTCTCGAACTCCTGACCTCAGGTGATCCACCCATCTCGGCCTCCCAAATTGCTAGGATTACAGGCGTGAGTCACGGCGCCTGGCCCTATGGCACATTTCAGTTGTTACAGATGCCTCACAACACCACAGATGCTGATCTCCACTTCAAAATGACAGCAGCAACCAGTCCTGAACTCATTTGTCTCCTCTCTCTCTCAATCTCTCTCTCTCATGACAGCAGTAACTAGTCCTGAACTCATTTCTCTCTCCTCTCTCTCTCAATCTGTCTCTCTCATGACAGCAGTAACCAGTCCTGAACTCATTTCTCTCTCCTCTCTCTCTCTCATTCTCTCTCTCTCTCTCTCTCTCACACACACACACACGTTGTTACATTGATATGTATCTACCTTCTTTTGTAATCCTCATAATTTTATTTGCCTAAAAATATTACTCTGAGAAGGGGTCCACAGACTTGCCTGGATTGCCAGAGGATAGAGGGTCATGGCCAAAAACAAATCACAGAGCCTACATGTGACTTTATCTCAGTATGGCTTTGAAATTACAGTCATCCCTCAGTATCTGAGGGGGATTGGTTCCAGGACCCCCTGCAGATACCAAATCCTCCAGTGCCTAAGTCCCTGATATGAAAGAGCTTAGTGTTTGCTTATAACCTATGCATGCCCTTCCACATACAAAAAAATCATCTCTAGATTACTGGTAATACCTCATACAATGTAAACGCTATATAAGTAGTTGTTATACTGTACTGATTTTTAAATCTGTATTTTTTTTTTGTTTTCTTCCCCAAATTTTCTATCCAAGATTAGTTGAATCTGAGGAAGTGGAGCCCACAGATACGGAGGGCCGACTGTAGTAATTTGACACTTCATTTTTCTTAAGGTGTATGAAGGTCCTTTCCTCTCTATTTGTAAATTATATGGTGAATAACAGTATTAAAAAATAAGCTGACTTAAAAGATGTCAGACTCATCTAGGGAAGCCCTTATTAGACATAACTGTTTAATGGCAATCTGTGGGTAATAATTACAAAATAAAATGCATATTTGTGAATAAGGATTGAAAAAAGTCTGCTAGCCCTTTATTCATCCAGCTTCGTGCTGACTCCTGTGGAGTCCCCCACTTGGTTCCAGCCTCCAGACTGAAGCATCCCCATCGACCATGAAGCCGCTGAGGTGGATGCCCTGGAGTCCCCAGGTGCTATCTGCTGGGAAGCCACTGGCCACATGTGGCTCTGCAAATTTAAATCAATTCAATTAAAATATAATTGCAAATTCAGGTCCTCAGTCACAAGCCACAATTCATGTGCTCATTAGTCAGCCCTGGCTGGTGGTTTCCACATGTATATATGTCCCAGCACAAATTCTGTTGTTTAACATGAATTTAGCTTTTCCCTTCAGGTTGTCCTCCATGGATGTCCTCCTCTGGTGCTGAACCGGTGCTTTTCTGCACACACCTGGTCCTGTGGGTATCTACCATGTGTAAGGGATTGTGTGTTAGGCTCCACCTTCTACAGTGCTGAGTGATGAGCAGTACAGGACAGGGGACATCCATCTGGCAGCCTTTATTGTTGAGTCTCAGCTTGAGGCTTGCATTGGTGAAGTGAGAAGCCATCAGTGACTAGCCTTCCCCTGACCCACAAAGCTGGAGAGAGAGATATGTGAGCTGTTGAGAAAAGTGGCAAGGACTTAACTGTATTTGGTGTCTGCTTCAGAAAAAAAAAACAAGATTCCTAGTGGAAACAGGAATCTTACATTTCCTGGGCAGGTTGTTTAAAGGTGGGTGGGCCATGGATAGTTGGCAGCGAGAGGAACTTCCCTTGCAGGATTCCAGGGAGGATGAGAGCAGAAACCTAGAGATGGCAGTGTGCGTGACTCACGTCTTGTATGTAGAGACCCTCTCGCTAGCACAGAACCAGAGTGCCCTTTGGAGGTGGGAAAGGCTTCCCTAAGAGCCAAAGTTGGAGGCCCTTGGTCTGTTCTCAGTGTCAAAATCTTAGACACAGAGGGCATGTGACAGAACCTGTAGGCTAGGGGGACAGTAGCTTTGTGTGGCCTGTGTGGGCTCTGGTGCCATATCTCACTGTAAGCTCAGAGGTATTTGGAAATCCACTTGTCTCCATCATTCTGAACACATCACCCCTCCGTCATAAGTTCTGCATCCCACCTTGTAGCCATGGTTGCAGCTCCATGGTTTGGCCAACGGAGCATAGGGTTTGCTTTTAGACACCTAATGGCATGTGAGTCAGCAGCTTTACACTCAGTGCCCAATGGCACTGCCATACTCAGAACCTACTTGGGCAACTGCTCAGCCAGGGTCTCTGATAACAGAGAGTTTGTATTGTTCACTTTGTATTGTGGGAAGACTGTGAGCTTCTGATGCCTCGGTTTACTCTCCATGGCCCACCTGGGTGCATACCTCTTTTAGAGACAGAGCATTTGAATTGGTGCTCACTTGACATTTGTCTTTCTGGCTTTTCCCAGGACTCCTTGGCAGCAGAGATTGAGGGAACAATGCGCAAGGAGCTGCAGTTGGAAGAGGCCGAGTCTCCAGACATCACGTATGGCCACAGTTTTTACAGTTCTGAGCTTCCCAGAGACCACCTTGTGACCTGTGGTGTTCAAAACCTGGCAATGTTGAGGCTCTGGGTACCAACAGTGATTGACTATTGTCCTTCCCAGTCCAGATTAAGGGAAATAATAAATAATAGAACACAGCTGACAGCATCCCTTAGCTCCTCTTATTAGCTTTTGTTAGTGTTAATTTTTATTTATTTGCTTTTTAGCGATGGGGTGTCACACTTTATTGGCCACGCCAGAGTGCAGTGATGTGATCATAGCTCACTGCAGCCTCGAACTCCTGGGCTCAAGTAATCCTGTTGCCTCAGCCTCTTGAGTAGCTGGGGCTACAGGTGCATGCCACCATTTCCAGCTAATTTTAAAAAATCTTTTGTAGACATGGGGCTTTGCCATGTTGCTTAGGCTGATCTCAAATTCCTGGCTTCAAGTGATCCTCCTGCCTTGGCCTCCCCGGAGCGTTGGGATTACAGGCATGAGCCACTGGCCTGTGAGCCACTGTGCTCCTCTTCTTCTTAGGTTTTATAGACAAATTGTGAACTTCCAGAAAGTCCTAGAAAAGGAGATATATGTTTCCCATCTGTCTTAACACAAGCTTCGTCTTGATATAGCTACACATTTTTATCTTTCATTTCAGTGGAAAACGTTTAAAAAATTTAAAATCAACGTAGTATGAGATTCAGAGGGGTCTTCAAAGATCTTGTGCAAGGCTTCCATCTCCTTCTGAATACACCTAAGGATATGAGCTTCTCCATCTCTCTTCCTAACTCAACTCTTGTACTTAGCCTGTCCCAAGGTGTTTGTAAGGAACCTGTGAACCAGGTTTCATTGTGTTTTCTCTGTACCCAGACTCCATAGACAGAACTAAAATGAGATCCTGGGAGTGACAAGTGTCCAAGAGAGGTTCGGTATATGTGTGACACCCTTTGCAGCCCAGAAGGAAGTGGCCATTGTAAAAACATGCCTACCCTTTTTAAAAGGGAACAAATGAGCATCAAAGTGTGGTTCTGTTCCTGAAATAACACTTTCCAAAACATAAACAAATCTAGTATTTATCATCTAATTACAGAAGTGTAAGACTAACTTTAAGTCTTGCTTTTTTAATATGAATATTCATTCTACAAGTGTTCGTTGATCTCTGCTGTGTGCTAAGCAGTGAACACTGCTCTGCTGTAGCATGTATTCTAGTGAATATTATGAAAAAAGAAAACTAGGAGACAAAAGTCAACTTAAGTATTTTTATTTGTAGGTTAAGCTTTAGGGATGTAAAACACAGTTTCACTCTTGCTAACATCTTTAGCACAACCATGGTTCGGGTATTGAAGCTCTCAAATTTCACATTGTGAAGGAGGCAGCCAATACCCTAAGAAACAGGTGGCAGGCACAGGATAGTGGGCTGCCTGGGGACTCATCACAGGCCAGGTGCCCTTTTGGCTCCTCAGTTGGTCATTTTTGGAGGGTTAAACTCCAGGGTCGTGCCCACATTTGCTCACTCATGGATGCCGTGCATTCTCCCTAGTCACCAGAAGCGTGTCTTTGAGACAGTAAGAAACATCAACCAGGTCGTCAAGCAGAGATCTCTGACCCCTTCTCCTATGAACATTCCTGGCTCCAACCAGTCCTCGGCCATGAACTCCCTCCTGTCCAGCTGTGTCAGCACGCCCCGGTCCAGCTTCTACGGCAGCGACATAGGTAATGTCGTCCTCGACAACAAGACCAACAGCATCATTCTGGAAACAGAGGCAGCCGACCTGGGGTGAGCAAGCTGGGAGTTTTCACTTCTCTGTTTTGGGGTGAGGAGTGGTAGTATGGATTGCCTGCAGGCTTAGTAATTGTTAAGAGGGGGGTAGATAAGAGTCGCCTGAAAAATACAGACCTGGCCAGGTGTGGTGGCTTATGCTTGTAATCCTAGCACTTTGGGAGGCTGAGGCAGGAGGATTGCCTGAGCTCAGGAGTTTGAGACCAGCCTGGGCAACACTGCAAAACCCCATTTCTAGTAAACGTACAAAAAATTAGCTGGGCGGGGTGGCGCTCGCCTGTAATCTCAGCTACTCAGGAGACTGAGGCAGGAGAATCACTTGAACCTAGGAGGTGGAGGTTGCAGCAAGCTGATAATCGTACCACTGCACTCCAGCCTGGGTGACAGAGTGAGACTCTGTCGAGTGAGACTCTGTCTCAAAAAAAGAGAGAGAAAAAAAAAGCAGACCTTAACAGTTCTCCAAATCTGTTTTACCTACCCACCAAGCCTACGCCTATCCTTGATATGATATTTTAATCAGCTTAAAGATGTATAACAAGATGATACCAGAAAGTCTGCTTTCCTGTGAAATGCTTGCGGGGGAGGATTAATGAATATTTTTTTGTTGTTGTTAGTCTTCATGGTAAGGCTACAGAATAGACATTTGTTTCGTGACCCTTTTGTAGTTTGATGTTGGAAAGGCTGAGGACTCAGGCTCTCTGTCTTGTGACCAGAATGTGGTCAGAGGGTAGGGTGCAGGGGGGGCCAAGGTGCCCAGGACTGGGTTTTCCTCAGGAGTGGTCAGTTCCTCCTTGTCCTGAAGCCCTGCAGAACCAAGCTCCTTGATCAGAGCAGGTTTTGTTCAGAGTTGGGGTCTGGGCTCCTTTCCTTCAAGAGGAGAGAGAAGCATCCCTTAAACCAGTTGCCCTTCTGGTAGCCAGGAACGGTAACCTACAGGTTTCTTCCTAAAGATTCTTGAGGGAGATGTTTAGAGGGACTGAATTTACCTAGTCTGTGTGCAAAATATTCATCCCACCTTAGTCCTCACCCCACCTCAACCCCACTAAAAAAGACCCCTGGCGGGAGTAGTTCTGGACACGCATTTGTTTCCCCCTTTTGCCTAAATGTCAACTGCTTGCCTTGGTTCCCATGGAGAATCCTGCAGCCCCAGGGAACGTCCTCCCCTGTGCATTGAGCACTCGGGCCTCTGTGCCGTTGGAGACTGGCTAGTGTTCCACTCTCACACCCCTTTCTTCTTCCAGAAATGATGAGCGGAGTAAGAAGCTGGGGACGCCGGGCACCCCAGGCTCCCACGACCTGGAGACAGCGCTGAGGCGGCTGTCCCTGCGCCGGGAGAACTACCTCTCCGAGAGGAGGTTCTTTGAGGAGGAGCAAGAGAGGAAGCTCCAGGAGCTGGCGGAGAAGGGCGAGCTGCGCAGCGGCTCCCTCACACCCACTGAGAGCATCATGTCCCTGGGCACGCACTCCCGCTTCTCCGAGTTCACCGGCTTCTCCGGCATGTCCTTCAGCAGCCGCTCCTACCTGCCCGAGAAGCTCCAGATCGTGAAGCCGCTGGAAGGTGATCGCGCGGGGCCTCGGCCTCTCTCTGTCCTCCTGGGGGACTCCCTGTGGTCCCTGATCCACCTGCGGAAGGCGGGGCACCTCTGTCACGCCTACTCCTTTTTCTTCCGAGACAGCCATCCGCGCTGCTGGTTTGAGTTCCTCTGACGGTGGCGCTCAGCCTAGGCCTCCATCCCTCTCCTCTGGCTGGCAGGTGTGACAGTGCACACATAGACCACCAAACTCGCCAAGGAAAGACAAGCATGTGCACTGTGGTCTTCTAGTTATTTCCTTTGCCTTTAGAACCTTAGAAATAAAAACCTTTTGTGGCAGTAGAGGCATTGCTAACAGATTCAAAAATTGATTAGGTTTTGCCTGCGGGTGTGAGGAACGCAGAGAATTAACGCTTTAGCTTCTCCGAAGTTTTGGTGTCAGGGAGAGGTTCCAAGCAAACTCTATTAAATGGGGATTTTTTTTTTTTCCCCATAACCACCCGAATGTGATTTGGGGGCTTATGTGTTTTGATTTGAACTTCATATAACAAGGTTGTGGCTTTTGGCAGATGCATTATGTTGTGAGCTCGGCTCCTAGAGTCTACAGTTTGGAGCCCAGGAAGGGCGGTGGCTGTGGAGACAGTGAGTTTTGTGCCTCCTTAAGCCACCCTTTTCCCCGGGCAGTTCATATTTTAGTATCGGGGCACCGCAGATGATTAAACTCATGGAAAAACGTCTTCCTCCCTCCCTCCCTCTCTCGCTCTTTCCCTCCCTCCTCTTTTTTTTTCTTTTAGGCACTTAAAAATGTTTTCCCTCTACATACCACCACCCTGCCAAGAGCCACCAAGTGTTTATATTTTTCATTTTTTACTCCTTTAGTTTTGAAAGCCATATAAGTTTGAGAAGCTATTTTAAAACTATGTTACACTTATGATGCAAAGCCAAATCAGAACTTCTGTAAAGCAGAACCTAACTTTTAAAAATTATTGTCCCTTCTAAGGAGCCTTCTAAGACGTTTTTTCCTGATCACCCCGATGGCATTTTAATACCACAGATATATTGTTTATGTACTATATGTATATCCATATACAGTATACATAAACAATACATAAACAATATATCTATGGTATTAAAATAAAAATAATCCAATTATGTTCACCTCAAAAGAACCTGTTTTTGCCCCTCGGGAGCAATATTGCCCCTTTGAGAATGCATGCTATAAGGTAAGGTTGTGCTTGTTAAAGACCCAAGACATGACTGGGTTCCATAGTCTCCAAAGGAAGAGGGCGGGCTAGTTTGTTTTTATTATTATTTTAAAATTGTATAATTGGGGTCCTTCTTAGAGTTCCGAAAAGGTATGGCTTACTCTTTTTTGATTATTTATTTAGTTGTAAGCTTGGTGATTGTTTTCTGATCTACATTGTGTCTGTTCTTTCAATAAAATCTTTCATTTCTGCAATTTTACTTTCTGCCTTACTTTTCTTTTTTCTCCTTTGTCACTCAAAAATCATTGGAATTTATCATCTCTGTCTTGTCTGCTTTCTATATTTGACTCTGTGTTTCATTAGATCATTTAAGAATATGTTTTTGAATTTATTTTCAAAGCACACGTTTTAGCCAGTTCATCTTTCTTTCTTTTAATTTTGTGACTTGGCAGTATTTTTGTGATCAGTTAATAGGATAATAGGAAATCCTATTAGATTAGCAAGGTGATTTTCATCTGTAGTGCTCTGCTACCCAGGAGGCTAAATCAATACCATTAAAAAGTTATTTGTCTTATCACAGTGGCCTGTAACACAACCTCATGATATAGATCCTTTAGGCTCCATTTTGTAGTTCTCTGACTTCTTAGCTGTTTATTTATGTATTTAGTTTTTGAGACAGGGTCTCGCTTTGTCACGCAGGCTGCAGTACAGTGGTGTGATCACAGCTCACTACAAGCTTGAATTCCTGGGCTCAAGCAATCCTCCCGCCTCAGCTTCCCAAGTAGCTAGGACCACAGGAGTGCACCACCACACCTGGCTAATTTATTTATTTGTAGAGACAGGGTCTTACTATGTTGCCCAGGCTGGTCTTGAACCTCTGCCCTCAAGTTACCCTTCCACCTCAGCCTCCCAAAGTGCTAAGATTACAGGCGTGATTCACCACACCTGGCTCAGACTTCTTAGCTGTTACAACCAATATTTTCTTTTTTCCCCTCTACAGTTATTTTTTTATGTTACCATGTTTAATATGGTAAGATGGGATGCTGACACAGAAGTCAGCCTGGGCCAGGTTCAGTACAGCTCTGACTGTGACATTAGATAAATCACCCCACTTTTTGAGCCCTGTTTCCTGTTTAATTGTGGTTATGACATAGGCTGATAGCTATCAAACCAGATTCCAGTGAGGAGTAAATGAGAAGCATTTTATATTGTACCTGGCATCTAATAGGTGCTTATTAAAATGTTGGCTTCCCAAGCTTGCTCCAGTCCAGGTCTGTTACTAGGGCTAAGTTACTAGTGTTGAGATCTGGACCAGCACTAGGGTCATGTTCTTAAATTATCTTTTTCTGTTGGCCCACTGAGAAGCTAGTAAGACTCCCATGATCGCCATCGGCCCGGGTAAATGGACCTGGGGGGAGGTCCCGAGAGACTGTTGGCTGAGATCACAGCAGAGAGCCAATCAGTGTCTTCCATCTGGCTCCCTTACCTGTTAATTAATCTTGCCATCTGCTTATTGTGAAAGCCAAAATAGCTAAGTGTTTAAGAGTGCTAGCAATCTCTTGTCTCTTCATCTTACCTTACCAGTTTTAAGCAGGTGAACAACAAACAAAACATTCAAACTAGAAAGATATCCGCCTTAAAAAGACCAAGGCAGGCAGTATTTTTTTCCTGTAATTTGCACTTCCTTTCTGCTTAATCATAACCAAGGTAGCATTTCCAAATAAATAATATGTAAATAAGGGAAAGGATACATTTCGAAGCTGTGCATTATCCAGCAGGTTTCGTTCTAGTGTCTAAACCCTGGTGCTCCTCTGACATCAGTGGATTTTGGAGTTTCCTCTCCTTTGATGACTTAAAAATGTTTTAGCTGGAACACTGGGGTATGGAAGGAAAGCAGAGGGGGAAAGACACTATGACCATAGTTAAGTTTTCCCCACTGTCCGTGCCCTTTTCCCATAGAACTTTATCTTGGGGCCAACCAGGAACATGAAGCTTCCTGTCTTTCCTTGCCGTGTTTGCCCAACTCCTGCCTGGTTTTAATGTGGGTGAGAGGAGTGAGCAGGTCTTGAGTTGGTAATGGGAGGTAGCTCATATTACAGTGTTTGGCAAGTAAAGAAGCCAGGCTGGGGAATGAGCTGGAGAAATGGAAAGAAAGAGGCAACTTGGGCTCTGAATAAGATGCAATTCATATTTATTTTTTAATTCGTATACCTTCTTGTGTCAAAGGAAGGACTCCAGGCAGCCAGGAGATTGGTAGAATTCCCACATGGTGGTTTAGGCAGCAGCAGGGAGGTGAGGCATGAGGTGTTCTGCCCAGTTGACGGGCTTGGCAAACCCCACTGGGACCTTGGAACCAGCCAGGAGTGGAGATAGTCCATGAGCCCCACAGCATGACATAACTGAAATAGCACAGTCAGGTTTGAGAAGGCACCTGCATGGGAATCTAGAAAGCCATTCAGGTGTGTTATTGACTAGGTTTCGGAGACTCTCATGTGTGAGGCCTCTCACTGCTGAGGATTAGGAGAATGGACACTGGAGCCAGCCTTGGTTTCAGTCCCAGATCAGTCAAGCCACTTGCCAGCTATGCAGCCTCTAGCAAGTTACTTTCCCTTCCTGTACTCAAGTTGCCTCATCTGCAGAATGCAGACAGCAGGGATAATGTGAAGATTAAGTGAATTATAAATGTAGACCTCAGAAAAGGGCCTGGCGCTTAGTAAAAGGCCAGTAAAAGTTGGCTGTTCTTACATGAGTAAAGGATGCGCAAGGCATGGGATAAAAATCTGAGCATGATGCATCTTTGCCCATAATGTTTTAGTTGTAATTTCACTAAATTTCCTTGGCTGTGGAGTGTCAGAGAATGCAAGTAACCCCATGCATTTCTGTGACCTCCTTAACTCCAAACAGCAGACCCTTTGTAGCCTCATTTCTCTGTCTTCAGCTCATCCTTGGGCGCAGGTGAGGAGAGGGAGTGATGGGGCAGCCGGTTGAACAGTTGGAGGGGACAGGCCTGTGAGACTCTTGTCAGGGCCCAGACCTCCAGCCTCCCTGGGTTCTTTCCCAGTGAATTGTAAACACCTCAGACCCCCTTCAGAAGGATGACGAGGTTTGGCATTTCCTTACCAGAGTTCTTCACTTCCCAGAGTCTACTGGGAAGTATATCCTCCTTTTCCCTTCCAAAAGTAGAGGTGACGTGGCCATATTGTACCTGGGGTTTTCTCATCCTTCTCAGACTCCGGTGTACAGTCCCGAGCTGAACATGACAGTACAGTGGCTTCTTTAAGACTTCCCGTGGTGCTGTTTTGTTATCGGGAATGTGCCTGCACGGCCAGTGAGCATTTATACCAGGGCCCATTAGGTAGTGTGAATGCGAGTCCCCAGGGACAGCAGAGAACTCCTATCAGCAGGATTGTCTTCTGGCAGGCCCTGCACAGCCATCTGGAAATTCTGCTGCTGACCCTTTGTGCAGCTGGGACACCGATGTCCTTCTTGTTCTCAGACCTGTGGGTTTTGATGGGTGGGCAGTGTGAAAACTTGGTCTTTCGTTCTGAACCCCAGCTATGCCACCACTAATTAAGTGGCTTTGGAAAGTTATCTAACTTCAGGCAGCCACCATTCCCCTGTCTGTAAAGTGTTTAATCATACTTAGTTCCTAGGATGGTTTTGAGGAGTGAGTTGGTATAATACATGTAAAACAAACTGCCACGCAGGCCTGCCTCAATATAGGGAAGCTTAATTTAAAAGAAATCACAGCGATGCTGTGGCGTCTGAGACTCGGGAGCCCATCCACTGGTCTCCGCAGGTCTGCGAAGCCCCGGCCTTGTTTGCACGGTGTTGCTAGCATACGCCCTTCCTTTAGGAAGTGGGTCCACAGCTTCCTTCAGATTCTCAAAACATCCGAGAGTTAAGAACCACAGCTCTAGAGCAAGGTTTCTCAACCCCAGCCCTGTTGACATTTGGGGCCAGTTCGTTCTTTGATGTGGGAGCTGTCCTGTACATTGTGTTGTGTTTTGCAGCATCTCTGACTTTTACCCCCTAGATGCCATGAGCACTAGGTGCTGTTCCTCCACAGCTGTGACAACCAAATGTGTCTCCAGACATTACCAAATGTCCCTGGGTGGGGGAGTATGAGGCGCAAAATCGCCCCTAGTTGAGAACACCGCTCTAGATGCATCTTAGTACCTAGTGAGGGAACAGATATGTGATACCCTCTTTCATTATATGTCATTCTTTCCTATTTCTTTTTTTCTTGAATTTAGAGTATTTTCTATTTATATTTAATAGATCCAGATTAAGTATGTTGCTCTTGTACCTGTGAACTCTTAAAACTGGGATAAACCTTCATGTGGGTGTCTAGGAACTCGTTAAACATGTATTGGCAGTGTGCACCTTTTTTTCCCTTTTAAGCGGATTTGAAATTGCTCATTTATAAATCCCTTTCAAGCCTCCCTGGCTAAGATTGACCCATGAGAAGTTATTTCCAAGGGGTGTTTGGAAATGGCAGACTCTCTGCGCACACCACGGGGCCTCTCCCTCACCCCACCACCTCCCACCTTGGCCTGCCTGCCTTCCCTTGTCTTTTGTCTTGACTTCCTGAGCTGCTGGCTCCTGGCATCCTTGACTCCCTTTCCTTCGCTCCCCAGGGCAGCCTGGTATCCTGGAGGGCTTCTTGCCTACCCAGGAAATATACCCTTGGTAAACCAGTGGTGACTGCCCGAGCATCCATTTGTGCAGGAAGGCTCCTGCCTTCTAGTGCCCCAGAACCTCTTCAGAAGTCTCTCCTTTGAGCATGGAATATTTATTTGTGTGACCATGCACATCTGAGTGCCTTCTGCATCTGTAGAATGGGGCTAGCCGTGCGAGCCTCACGGCCCATGCACTAGCATGGTGTCATGTGAGGCATTAATAAGTGTTCCAAGGTAAAAAAGGTTGCTCTGTCAAGTAAGTTGGGCAAAAACACTGTAACACACTGAAGGTTCTGTGATGCCCCTCAGTAAAAACACTTCCGTTTCCTGAGCATGCTTGGCCTAGGAACACTTCTCTTTGTAGAGCACCTGTGACACCTTGAGGTCTTCAGGGACACACTCCGGTGTTATTACAGACCTTGCATGATGTCATCTGAGTCCTTGGGTTTGGTGTCATCAAGAAGATGGGCTCCCCGGCTTTAGAGCTCCATGTGGACTTACTGTGTTCTTAAATCACACCTCTTTAACCCGATTCCTTCTCCCTAACCCGGCAGCCTCTCAGAGTTGCTGGCAAAATACCGAAAACCTAAGTAAAGGAGGTGATGGTCACATCTACCACATATCTCTGTGCTGCTTTCATTTCTTTTTGCTTTCCGCTTGCTGAGGGTCCTGGGCTTGGCGTGGCATGGTCTTATTCTGCCTGAGCTTATGTCTTCCCTGTTCCCAGGAGTGTGTGTTTGGCATAGAATCAGTACATGTGGCCCCCGTTTTGTGCTTATCTTGCCATTTTCCCCCTTCCATTTTGTAAAATGAGAAGGTGTTGAGTTCTGGGGCGGACATCAGTTGATTAAAATAAAGACCTCGCCACCAAACCTCTTTTGCACGTACTATGGTGTGGATTTTACTTAAAAAAAAACAAAAAATTGTTGATTTCTTAACTTGGTACCCCTTCTGATCATGGTAGGGTTTGGCTACTGTTTCATGGCAGGAAGGGCTAAGGCAGCTCCACTGAAGTTCCCACTGCAGTCCACCTGGAGGCCCAGACCCTGCTGGGGTTCACGCTGAGCACTTTGAGGGTGGTAAACAGCCATTGTCTTGGACTTCCATCCTAACCCTCTCTTCTCCTTGTCCCCTTCTTCCATTCCCTTTCTCCTGCAAGGTTCTGCCACCCTTCACCACTGGCAGCAGTTGGCCCAGCCTCACCTTGGGGGCATCCTGGACCCCCGGCCTGGTGTGGTCACCAAGGGCTTCCGGACACTGGATGTTGACCTGGACGAAGTGTACTGCCTTAACGACTTTGAAGAAGATGACACAGGTGACCACATTTCTCTCCCGCGCCTAGCTACCTCCACGCCAGTTCAGCACCCAGAGACCTCAGGTGAGAGGTCCCGAGCCCGTGTGACTGTCTCAGGCAGCAGAAGTTACCCGAGCCGGCCTCAGGCTTCCCCAGAGGAGATGCAGGAGCCAGCGGCCACGGAGGAGGAGGAGGAGGAGGAGGGGTCTGGTGAGGGCACCACGATAAGTCCTGTAAACTTGGCACCTTTCCCGGAGGCAGAGTTTTGGGCCATTCTCACCTCTGTTCCGGGCACCATCCGTAGTGGCTCTCTGTCTGTAGCTTCCGCTCGTCTGTGTGGGTGATGATGAAAGCATTCTCATTGCACAGTACTGTTTTTAAATACACAGTCTGATGACTCCTATTTGTAACAATGGGTGTGGCTCCCCTGCCCATCTTGGAGGTGCATGGCCCAGCAGGGATCGTAAAGTGGGAGCAGGAAAGGCTGCTAAAAAAAAACATCAGGGGCCCCTGAAAAACATCAGTGCCCTTCTTCCTGGTCTGGGTGTCTCCCTGAGTCTAAGGGGAAGATTCTCAAGTGCCCTGGTGATTTCCAAGTGGAGCTGAGCAATTTTAGGGAAATTGAGTGCTGGGTCGTTCAGAAGGCAAATGAGATCATCTGTTACCTGTATGCTGTATTAAAATAGAAAGAACCAGGAAAGGTTCAGGATTTCAGACACTTCATCAGCCTTTTCACTTTCCCAACTTCAATGGAGGTGTATATGTCATTTTCTTTTCAGCTTACACATGTGTTCAAAGTGGATTTTTATAAAGTGTTTTAGCAATACTCCTTAACCAAATAAACCTTTGGAGAATGTCACTGAGCTTTTCCAGAGAGAAGACCCTAGATGAAGCTGGAAAAGAGCTCTGGCTGACTCCACCCACTGCACCCAAGCATTAAAGGTGTGGCCATGAGTTTACAGAATTACCCACATCCCAGTTGCCACTGGGATGAAAAGCTTTGTGCTCAGAGCCCTGGGAATCATGGGATCACATGGTTACTGTTTATCCCAACAGCATGCTCTGCCTAGACTGGACCTTCCAGCCCCTTGTGTTGGGAAGACAAAGCTTTTGTGGAGTCAGGGGAGAGACTGAGAAAAAAATGAATTAACCCTGTGTTGTCATTCTCATGACATTCCCGAGGATTCACTAGGTTTGAAGCAAGGACATTCATCTTTGTGATTCGTAATTTTCATTTTTGAAGGCCACAACACTCCCCTTGACATACAGGGCAGGAAAGAGCTGAGGTTCTTCCATTCCCCTGGCGAATTTCAAACAGCTGTGGTCAAGGGATTTTATTTGGGATCAACTTTTCCTTTTTTCCTTGATGTTAATTTTAGAGAAGTCATCAAGTCATGTGATTTGTTTAGTACCTAGGTTTGTTTATGATTTGGTTTTTTTTAAAAGCAGTTAAATTACTAGATTAAGCTTGTGAGGGAATGAAAATGTTTTTTTATTTCGTATCTACACACTTGAGAAAGGGAAACCAGCTGCGGTACTGTCCCAGTTTTGTCATCAGCACCCGTGGCCATCAGGAAGGCAGGTGTTGGTGCAGGAACATGATGCCTGGCTGGTTTTTGTGGCTGCAGGGGTAGGCCCCATGCCGATTGCCGATTGGGATACTCCCCTACAACCTTACAGGTAGAATAGAAGGTGAGTTCTGGAAGTGCAAAGAAGCACCTTTAGGTGTACCTTCTAGAAGTTGTACAGAAGGACTAAAGCTTATCAAGTCAACAAAGAACTTATCTTGGAGGACAGAGAGAGAGAAGGGACCAATAATGAGGACTGGGGACATCCTGACCACTCTCCTTAACATAAACACTGACATTTTTCTTGCTTGTTCCCTCTGTACTCAAACCTGTAGCAAATTCATCCTAGAAACACTATTTGAGGAGGGGCATGAACATTTATAGCTGAAACTGTAGAAAGGGTCAGGTTGGAGGTGTGTAATAAAAAATAATTACCTGGATTGCCAAAGGTAATTTAGGAAGGGCCCGATCATTTAGATGAGAATTCTTTGGGGCTTATTTTCTGGGTGAGGTTCATCTTTAAAAACTGGCTTCAGAGGGGAGAGGGGTGAACAATGAATTGGCTCTGTTTTCTCTATTGGGAATTACAGGACCATTTTGATTCTCAGAATTTAAAAAGCATATCATCATCCTGGAGGTCCCAGTTAGCTCTCTGCCTGCCATCATGGAGACACAGGCAGACAGATAAGCTTTATGGGGAAGGCTTGGGGCATCCTTTGTCTTGGGATATGTATCCATGGTGTCTCGTCCCTGCCTTTTAATCCGTCCTGTATGCTTGGGCTTTTCTGTTGCCAAACAGCACTATCCCAGGAACTGCTGTCTGCCTGGGGAAACTCAGTAGGGAGGCACTTTGGAGACAGAAGGTGATGAACCTTTTTATGTGCAGCTGGTGTGATAGAAGGAAACTGGGAAGACTTGTACGCTAGGCAGTTTTGTCCAGAGCCTGCTGTCCCATGGAGAAAAACTTTTAAGCACTGAAAAAATTTGATTAATGTATTTAAATGTATTATTTGAAGCATCATTCACTTGTTGATTTTTATAATCCCATGTCTTAAAAAGGATGATTCCATGTTATTGTATTGTAAATAATTTAGATGATTAAAATGGATTGTTTAAAAAGTTTTAGATTATAGTTTTACTTTATTTCAGTGATATGTTTTATGTTTTAATTTATATAGAAAGTATACCTTATCAGAACTAGTCATCATCTTGTTCTTTCAGTACTCTGTATTTTAGGTATTTGTGTGGGGAAGAGCCTGCGTGTGGCAAAGGACTAAGAGTTAAAGTCACACAGTTAAATTGGTAGTGGGCTAGTGGATGAGCAGTTCAGTTGAATTATCTTGAATGCCTTGATCCTTAAAGGTGAGAAAGAAGTGGGATTAAAGCCACATGGATAGAGAAAATTGACGGTCAGTTTATTTTAATGCTTTTATGCATCAAGACTGATTCATATTGAGGGGAGGTATCCTCAAAAACTTACACGAATCATGGCATCTTGACATCTTACCTGGCAGTGACCCGGCAGTAGAACCTTGTCCTAATTGGAGCTGAGATTTTTTTTTTTTTTTTTGGAGACAGAGTCTCACTCTGTTGCCTAGGCTGGAGTGCAGGGGCATAGTCTCAGCTCACTGCAACCTCCGCCTCCCAGGTTCAAGTGATTTTCCTGCCTCAGCCTCCCAAGTAGCTGGGACTATAGGCACACGTCACCACGCCCAGCTAATTTTTGTATTTTTGTAGAGACGGGCTTTCACCCTGTTAACCAGGCTGGTCTCAGACTCCTGGCTTCAAGTGATCTGCCCGCCTTGGCCTCCCAAAGTGCTGGGATTACTGGTGTGAGCCACCACACCTGACCTGGAGCTGAGATCTTAAAGTCAGAGTGGAAGACAAAAAGCACAGTTGGCTAAAATTGCCCTTGAAAAATTCCCTAAATCTTCAGCAACTGGGCCACCAAGGCAAAAGCCAAGAATCAGCTGCTTTTGTTGCCTCCTTGTTTGATACATAGGCCCAAGGTCAGGAGCAGTGACTGGGTGAAAGGGCCGAGAAGGGCTGGTGGTAGGAAGGAGCCAGGCGGAGTCAGGCCAGCAGGGTGTTCCTGCAGCTTTGCCCAGGCGAGGCAGCTAGAGCAAAGCTGAGCCAGCTCGTATCCTGTCCCCATTTCAGTCCACCACAGACCACAGAAGTGGGGTTCAGACAGGCTTGTGAGAAGTTGGTTTGGGGGCTTGATGGGTCTGGAAAGAAAAGTCTGGTATGCTCGATTCACAGACCCTTGGGTACAGGGAAGTTCCTTCCCATTGTCTACATTGAGAGAGTTGATGTGAGTTCCCACACTGTTGGGAACACTCTTCGATTCAGCCTGGTTCTATGGCAGTTGTGAGGGAATTTGGTTGTTATGGACAGAGTGAATGGTTGGCTCACACCCACCTGTATTAGGAGATGCTAAGGAAAGCCCTGTGCTCTTCCATCAGAATATATAGTAAGCCAGAGTAAAACAGGCCAACTGCCACCTGCAAGTGGAAAAATGAAGAATGAAAGAATTGATTCCTTCAAAACAAACAGCATAGAGTCAGCTCTGCTTAAAATGTCCAGAACAAAGCCCACTTGTTGAGCATTTTCTCTCTGGTGTCCTCACCTCTGAACACTACAGAGGGCCCCCTGGTGCTCCTGGAGGCATGTGGGTTGCTGAGGAGTAGGTGTCTGAACCTGACACCTTTCTAATGTGGAGGGCTCTTGAGGGAGCACCCAGTGTTGAGGGGAGGAGCTGTGCAACCGCACTGCCTAGTGAAGCACAGGTGAAGTGCTCTCTTGTGCTGGCCTTGAACGCACCAGCAGGGAAAGGTCTTGATGCAGCTCAGCCAGGCTACCTCCCTTCACCTGTTGGTGTCTGCCACAGAAGGAAGGACAAGAGGACAAAAGGGCGTGGGGTCCAGCTTTGTTGGTGTCTGAAGACTACAAAGGGATTTCTGCATTTGCCCTTTTGACATTTTAACAGCATTCTAAAAATCCCCCTTTCTCTAGAAGATACCCCAGGGGCACTTGAGAGAATTTGTGACCCTCTGCACAATGCTGTGAAATTGTTTATCTCTTAAATCACATCCTTTTTAGGTGAAACAGGGTAGGCAACTTGGCGTAGTGGGAAGAAGAGTCGACTTTTAATTTTGCAGAAACCAAAAATAAGTTGTGCAGAAACCAGAAAAAGATCTTGTGATGTGTGGTTCGAAGTCTCTGTGATAGAAACCTCCCAGCTTCCTGCTGGCCAGATGTCTGATCACCGAGGAGCTCAGGGATCTCTACGGAGCTGCAGGAGCAGTCGAGGGCTCTGTTGAAGAAATGCTTAAGCAGAGAAAAAATAAATACCAAGCCTCTGTGAAGCCCAGAACTAAGGCCTTTAAAAGTGTCATCTTGTACCACATGTTACAGTTTAAAATCACTTTTGTATTTTTTAAAACAAGCTGCACTGCTGCATCTGAAACTGCTCTTAATTCCCCCACTCCCCACCTCCAGAGAAAACACTTGTTAAAGCCACACGAATCCCTAGAATAGTACTTACATTAATGATGACTTGTAGGGCAAACTATGCAACTTTTCCCACGTGAACTCATCATAGAACTTTTTTCCCCCTGAAAATATCATGGGCAGAGTTACATAATGAAGAGACAGGAAAGTCTTTAGAGCACCTTCCATGCCCTGATATTTTAGTCTTTTAGGAAGAGATAAAGTATTGCTTCTTCCCTATCTGTTTAATGGAAAGGGAACTATTTCTCATACAGGTGACAGTAAAGACACGTCTTCCTCTCCCCTTTCCACTCCTCAAGCAAAAGGCAACAAAGTCATTGGAAGCTGGGCATTAAACAACTAAAATATACTGATATTCCTAGGGGATGGCTCAAGACATACCCTTAATCTGGATGGACAACGGCTTTTATTTTCAATAGATTTGTTTTTACTTGGATAGAACAGGCTGGCCTGTGGGTGCCACTGTTGAGGGGTGTGTGTGTGTATTGGTTGAGGAGTTTATAGAACTTGAAAAGCAGATCCAAGTCATGTGACAGCAGCATCCCACTACATGCTCAAGTTAAGAAAAGGAAAGAAAGGTCAGGGCATAGGGTTTATTTTATACAAGTTGGCCATTTCCCAAGAGTGACGAAAAGAACGTGGAAGGTCCTCAGTGCATCACAAAGGTGGAGTCCCTTTTCCAAGATTTTGAGATGCTTTTGTAAATTTACATTTATAGAAGTTATTTATGTGAGTTTTTAAAAATAGCTTGGGTATGCAGCATGGCCAGTGTTTCTCCGTTCTCAGAGGCTTCCTCAGAAGTAGCTGTGTCTGGGTGTGTATTGCACCCTGAATTTCCCCATAGCAACACACCAAGTATGGTTGCATTTTCCAGTGTCTCTGTGTGGGCTCATGTGAGGGTTCTTTTAAGGACTAGGTTTTATGGCAGCCTTTAGAGACAAGAAAGCTGCTGCTGTCCCCAGCACTTCCCAGGGATGGGGGAAGGAGAGTGCCATTAGAAGGGAAGGAAATGCATGAGCAGGTGTGTACTAATTGTATTATGGGTGGCCAGACGGGCAGAGTTCCAATCATCCTGCAAATCCCTGTGGAACCTCTGGGCCCCACCGGAGTGTCCCAGCCTCTTCTGTGCTCCCTTCTCACCATGAAAGCACTGGGCCATGGGAAGCAGTGGGCTTCCTACCTATCTTCCCTGGGAGGCCCGAGCAGTCCACAGAGCAGCAGCCATCCTGCTCTATATTGTGCAGTCTGAGGGGCATCCAGGGAGTGGGGGCCGTGTCAGGGCTCCCCCGTCACCGGCTGCAGCAGAAGGATCCCAGCCACCTAGTTTTCCAGTCAGTCCCAGGCATCACGGGCCCCTGAGAGCCTGGGCAGCCAGTGCCACTGATCAAGTATACCTGCTCCAGGCAGAAGGCTCACCAGAGTCCAACCAGAGAGAGCAGGTGAGCTCTCACTCGGTATACAGACTGAAAGTAAGAGTGGCTCTCACTCTCGCAGAGTCCTCTGATGTGTCCACCTGTAGCTAGCTGAAGGATGTGTGCTTGCGTGTTGTATGTTTTCAGAACAAAACATCTGCACGACAGCCACGGGCAGTTCATCAACATAGGAGATCTTGAATAATAATCAAGGATTAATGAAGTTTAAAGCGTATGTCACATTTTGTGCCAGTGTCAGAATCTGGGGGAGGAAGAACAATTTAAAAAGAATTAGGGTTTTTATTGGTAAATCCAAATTCATTCCTAAATCAAATGATGAAAATATTTGTTGTTGTTAACACTCTAACCCATTTAACCTATACCTGTCTCTTCACAACACTAGGAAGCCCTCCACTCAGGTTGAGAGAAAGAATAAGAATTTAAATAGGGAGTTAAAGCCTTAAATCGAAGAAACTCTATCCTTTGAGCTCCCAAATGAGCAGCATGGGATGAACACATAATACCATCTTCTGCAGAGAACTTTCCATTTAGATAAAGAAGGGGGCTTTGATGTGTGACATGGGCTTGGTGACTTCACAGTGAGCCCTCACCCCAACCCCCCATTTCCTGCCAAGAAGGATGTTTTATGTTGCTTTTCTTTCTTCTTTTTTTTTTTTTTTTTTTTAGAACTTGCTCTCTTCCTGCACCCAGGGCTTTAGGAATCAGCCCGTTGCTTCTCTGTAGCAAGCATGAGGAGCCTCTGATGATCCCAGTCTTGGGTGACTCACTGTCTCTCTGTTGTGTCTCAAGGAAGGGAGGTGCAGCAGCGGCCTGGCAGTCAGTGGTGACATGCGGAGAGCCCACGGGTCCAGGCGTCCTGGTGGTATTTTGGAGGGGCCGAGTCTCTGGCTTTAGCACTTTGGAAACTTGTTGATCTTCCTTGGTCTTCTATGGCTATTCATTGCTTCTGGGGAATGGTGACTTGCGAATTTTTAGCAGCCTTTTCCTATCCCCAAAACCCATTTGTATAAGATGGGTTTGCTTCTGCTGATGCAACTATGTCTCTAAAATGTCCATCTCACGCTCCCTATTGCAATTGAAGATCCAATATGTAAGAGGGTGGAGGAGGAAGTGAACATTTGTGACCTTTTGATTTGATATTCTGGCCATGTGTTTAAATGGGGGTATGCTTCTAATTTTAAATCTAGCCTTCCCTTGTTTGATTTCTTTTAAATGTTATCTCTCTTTCAACTGTGTTGTCTTATTTCCCCCTCTCCTCCTTCCCAAATAACCCCTCATGCCTGTTATTTGGGGTGCGCTTCCCAGGCTTTCTGTTATTTTTGTTTCTAGACCTTATTGCAGTAAGAGAGTCGTGATTGTTTGGTTGCCTTCTCTTCATAGCTTACTCCATTTTTGTTTTGCTTGTGGCAGTTTCTTATTGGAGTTCCTGAGCCATTGTGTTCACTGATTAAGAAAGATTCATAAAGGCTATTTTTATGTGTTTTTTTTCCTTCCCTCCTGCTTTGCTTGGAGCTCCCCGTGGCTGAGGGTTTTCTCCTGTGGCCGTGGTGCTGGCTGTCATGCCAGGCGCCGTGGGAGCCTGCTTTGACACACAGACCCGAGTCAGACCTTAAAAATCAGGGCAAACCGTCTTGCCTTGTTCTTCTAATCACCGTCACTTTTGTATTCTGGATTTGTCCTGCCTGCCTTTAATTTGCGTCTCCAGCATTTTTTGTTTGTTTGTTTCATCGGGTTCCTGGTTTTCTTTTAAGACATAGTCAACTGTGTGGACCTGTAGGTTTGGGGCAGCAACCAATTCCATTGTTTTCCTTTTTGTCAAATCCAAGAGAAAATATACCATTAGGAGCTAGAAGATTCTAGTTCACAGCCTTTTGAATCTTCATGGCCTTTGAATCCTCACGGCCTCTGATATCTGAATCAGTTTTCTCCCAGGAGGTCTCTGGGGGCTGAGCTGCTACAGGGGCAGAGGGTGGGGTGGGCTTGGGTGGGAGAATCATCCCGGCACTTCATCGTGCATGCTATTTGGGGCAGTATCTTTTTTCTTTTTTTTTTCTTTTTTTTTTTTTTCCCTGATGCTCGAGTTATGAATGAGGATGACCTCTGCAATCATGATGTCTCCCATAGACTCTGTTGCTTGTTCCTTTGCCAGCTTTCTCATGCATGGTCCTAACACTTCCATGATTTACTTTGCTCCAGACCCATAGTCTTCAGCCGCCTCAGCAATAACTTGTTTGAGCATTAAAAGGAAGTAAATTGGGAACAACTTGTTGCCATCTCATTTTCATTAGAAATCAGACATCTTAGAGATGTCAAGAAAGCAGCTGGCAACTAGAGGGTAGGGGGACCTGTACTCTCACCCTGCGGTGTGTCAGACCAGACCTGATCCTGGAGCTTAAGACCCTGGAGAGCCCTGATCTCTGTAACTCTTGCCACGTTGTTGCTGAGGCAGCTGAAGTCCCCATCTCCCACCGTAACAATCACAAATAGACAGTAGTGGAGCCAGCATTCCCAAGCCCCTTTTTGTGTAAGCAGAAAGGGAGCTATGAGCCTTGCCCTGTTTCCAGGTGCCAAGTGCCTCTCCCTGCCTGTACCTCTGCCCTTCCTCTGAGCAGAGCTTTGGTACCTGTTGCCAATGCAAAGAAATGTAAAGCAGCAAAAGAAGATAGCAGGTTCTGACCTGAGGAGGGAAACCAAATTTATCCCACAAAGGCCCATTACCCCGCCCCCCTCGCCTCCCACCCCCAGACTGGATCCACTACTGGCCCAAGAATACTGATGAGAAACCTTGTCTGGATTGGGTCGGAAGCTGGAATTCGGTGCTGTGCAGACCAGTGCTCAAAATTGTGGTTATTTTTGAGGACTCGCCTTCAATCCAGAACATTTGAGTTTCACCTTCCTCGCCCAGATTCAGTTAACAAGGTAGCTCATCACTTCTTGCATCTGTTGAGTGACATGCTGGATTTTAATTTTTATTGTGGTTGTACTTGGATGCAAGGAATATGTTTTGTTCCTCCCAATTTAGCGCACCATCCTGGGAAGTGCATGTCTCAGACCAACTCCACCTTCACCTTCACCACCTGTCGCATTCTGCATCCTTCAGATGAGCTCACTCGGGTCACACCAAGGTAAGGGACCCTGGCTCTGGGATGGGCAGGGGTGGGGTGAGGTCGGGGCACTCCCTTCCCTGCAAAGCTTAATATTGAGGAAAGCCAAGTAGAGAGGCTCATAGAAAAACCAACTCAAGCCAGTTTAAGCATCTCAGCATTTGCAGGCACTTGTTCTGGGTCCCATCTTTCCTTTCGTTGTTGTTTTTGTGTGTGTATGTATGTGTGTGTGTGTGTGTGTGTGTGTGTGTGTGTGTGGTTCTTTTTTTTTTTCCCCCTTGCAGCAGAGTTTTGCTCTGTTGCCCAGGCTGGAGTGCCGTGGCATGATCTTGGCTCACTGCAACCTCCACCTCCAGGGTTCGAGCCCATCTTTCCTTTTGAATTGAGGCTATTATTTATTTGGATCCGGCTCAGATAAAGAGACCTGGACCCACCTTCAGTTGCCCTTTTAGTTGCCCATTTAGTTGGCTATGGAATGGATTCTTAGGCCCCTCCTTAACCAGCTGAAGTTGACACTACCACAGGCCCTGCGGCTAAAGTCTGTTGGATTTTTTGCCCCAAAGTTTGTCAATAGAACACAGAGTTCTTTTATTTATGGATGGAGTTACTGAGCCCTGTGGAACCCCTTGTGCCTCTGCAATAGGCCACAGGAACCATGCACTACGGCCAAACTGTCATGACCAAAATGAGAAGACTCCAAGACTAAGCCACATGCCCAGCATGGTCCTTTTCTCTCTGGAGCACCATCTATGGGGAGGACTTGTCTGGTATGAGTTGGTCTGTTTGGCCTGATTTCAGGCCTTTCACTGGTGCCAGCAAAAGAGGAAATGCTCTCCCCTAACAGAGTGGAGCAACCCCCTCAGCCGTTTCCTCTGTGGTGCAAGATGCTGGGTTGCTGGAAGATAAAGCCGAAGGGGCGGGAGCAGTCAGCCAGGGAGCACCTTAAACTATGAATAATTCTCCACAGGTCATGTGAGGAGGACGACGAAGCAGCCATATACCCCGTTGAGCTGAGAGGAGATATAGGGCAGAGAGTCTGAGCCCACGGGTGAGGCAGGGGGTGAGCACACCGCCAGCAGTGCCTGCCCTGGCAGGGCCCTGTGGAAGGAGCTGTGTGTGCACGCGTGGCCGCCACTAACCCGGGGACTTAGGCGTGGATGTGTCTCTGTGGTTGTGCCTGGCTAACTCGGCCTTGATGGTCGATGCCCCTAACCCATCTAAACACCCCCAATCAAGCCGAGTGCCAGCACTAATAAAGGCCTAACCCTAAGTTCTCACCAGACGGGGATCATAAATATTAGCTTTGTCTTCTCCGTCTCCCTGCCCCTGGAGAACTTGGCTTCACCGTCCTGTGGCTTTATGTTGGGAAGGGATTGTTTTCAAAACCATGGAACCAAGCTTCCCACTATGAGAGGCTGGTGCCCTGGATAACTAGATGGCACTCCTGACTGTAGCCGTAGGACTTAAACCACACGTGGGTCTTCATGTGGCTGTGTCAGGGCTGAACGAAGCCTGGGAAGAAAGTAGCAAGAAAAGGCTTTTTCTTTTTTTTTCTTTTTTTGCCTAAGTTTGAAAGAAAGGCTGCTTGAAATAGAATGGAAACAAATCAACTGAAACAAACAAAATGGAAACAAAATCTCCCTAGGGATGGCCATATCAACATGATTATAAGTTTAGAGCTTTTTTGCCCTTTATTGAAGGTACATCAACATTTGTAAAACTTCACACATGCCTTTTGAAAAAATCCACGTTTAACCTTAGGAATCTGTTGTGGTTTCTAATCATGCTTTTCTGTGTCCCCCAGCCCACCAGCATCCCCACCCTTGAGCTTGTGTGAGATGGGCCTGTTCTAGTATCCCCACCCTGTGCTGACCTCCAAGGGCTGAGGTCACCTGAGTGTGGAGCCAGATGGTGCCCCTAGCTTGTACGTTGCTTTGAACCTCATGTTCCCCATGAGGGAGGGGGCCCCTTCTCTGGTCTTTCCAAAGACCTGCTCCAGAATGGGCCCTTTTCTTTCCCATTCCCTCCTTTGGTGCCTTTCCCAGAGTACATGGACTTCCTTCTGCCAGACTGGGGAGAGAAGCCTCCATCCCCACCTCCTGGGGACCATGCAACTGACCTGCTCCAAAGCACACTGGCAGCCCCAGCAAAATCCTGGAGCTGACACCAGGGCACGTCCCATGAGACTGTTAGGAGGGCTGTGCATCTTTGCTCCTTGGTTGCTCGTTGAGAAGCAGTATAGGGTTTCCATGCCTGTTTGGCCTCCCCCGGATCCCTGTAGCAGCTGTTAAAAGAGAACCTTTCCAAGCTCTGCACAGTGACAGTGTCATAGCCAATGAGGTTTATTACTAGTTGAAAAATTTCCCCAATACCCTGCCGTGATGACTTGAAATATAGGCAGCATTGGCAATTTTTGACAGTCTCTAGGGATACTGAATTATTAGGTTGGTGCAAAAGTAATTACAATTATAAAAAAAAAAAAAAAAAGAACCTTTCCTGCTTTTTAAGCAGACAACAATGCATTTCCCTCTGCTGCCCTTCTGGAAGCTTTTCTGTCCTAATGGACTCCATGACTGGATCCCAACTGCTGGAACCTAGTGAGTCCCTAGTGAGCACAACACAAGTGAATAAACAAATCTTTCTCCTTTCCTTGGGTAACTCAGGCTCCACACATTTCAGTGGACCTTTCTCTGGGTAGTGCCGTTGATGTAGATCTCTTCATATGAGACATGTCTCCCCCCGACCGTCTAACTCCACTGGTTAGAATGGATTTGGGCAAGGATATAAGAAGGGTTAAGGGCAGCACGGTGCAGAGGAAAGGGCTCTGCACCAGGGATTCAGGAGCTCACGGCCACAACTGACTGGATGGGCACAGCCTGGCCTCAGTCCACACGCTGTGGCCATCCTTTCCCTTCCTAAGATAAGGAATATCTCATCTCCCAGAGTCCTGGTTCACGTCTTGCTTCAGGGAGAAGTAGGTACTAGGAAGGAACACTGGAATGTGGGTAAATTTGATGGGGAAAGAATGCCTTTTTGCCAAAGGGCTTCCTTTCCTGTTCTCTAACAGATTTAGAGTCCCTCAACTTGGGTTGTCCACTTAACAGCCAGATGTGACACCAAGTAAACCCCTAACTCTGAGCCTGTTTCTTCATCTGCAAAGGGGACAGCTGTACCCACCAACCAGGGATGGGCAAAGGGGATCATGTGCAGCTTCCTGTTAACTTAAACCATGCTTCTCTTGAAGGGTGAGAGGGAGGAGCAGACGTGGACAGAGCCTTTGGGGGCCTCAGCTGGGGAACCCTCTCATCGTGTCCTGGGTCGTCCCTATACCCCCTGCAGGAGACTGGCCACTGACCCTTTCTATGGAGCTCGTGGGTATTTCTGGTGAATAACCTGTCATCTCTTCTTTCAGCCTTAACTCAGCCCCAACTCCAGCTTGTGGCAGCTCCAGCCACTTGAAATCCACGCCAGTGGCCACCCCATGCACTCCACGGAGACTGAGCCTGGCTGAGTCCTTCACTAACACCCGTGAGTCCACGACCACCATGAGCACATCCCTAGGGCTCGTGTGGCTGTTGAAGGAGCGGGGCATTTCTGCGGCTGTGTACGACCCCCAGAGCTGGGACAGGGCCGGCCGGGGCTCTCTCCTGCACTCCTACACACCCAAGATGGCTGTGATCCCCTCTACTCCGCCGAACTCGCCTATGCAGACACCCACATCCTCCCCACCCTCCTTTGAGTTCAAGTGCACGAGCCCTCCCTACGACAACTTCCTGGCTTCCAAGCCGGCCAGCTCCATCCTGAGGGAAGTGAGAGAAAAGAACGTCCGCAGCAGTGAGAGCCAGACCGACGTGTCCGTCTCCAACCTCAACCTCGTGGACAAAGTCAGGAGGTTTGGGGTGGCCAAAGTGGTGAACTCAGGGCGAGCCCATGTCCCCACCTTGACTGAGGAGCAGGGACCTCTCCTCTGTGGGCCCCCGGGGCCGGCACCAGCCCTTGTCCCCAGAGGCCTGGTACCTGAGGGCCTGCCCCTCGGATGCCCCACTGTCACCAGTGCCATCAGTGGGCTGCAGCTGAATAGTGGCATCCGGCGGAATCGCAGCTTCCCCACCATGGTGGGATCTAGCATGCAGATGAAAGCCCCCGTGACTCTCACCTCGGGCATCTTGATGGGTGCTAAGCTCTCCAAACAAACTAGCTTACGGTGAGGACTGGAGGGGGCCGGTTGCCCTGGAGGAGACCCATGTTCTTCTCTCTTGCTCCCACCTCCCTCTCTTCCCCCTACAGTGCACTTCCTCCCTCTGCCCTTCTCCGTCCACCCCCTCCTGAGCTAGACAAATCAACCTCGTGCCTAATGGAGGAAGAGTGGAACCTTTGTAAAATGTGTACATAGGACTTGGAGACCTCGTGTCCGCCCTGCTCTTTCTTCCGATCCCACAGGAAGTGCCCCTGCACTGTCATCACTCTCACGAGGACGTCACCTGTGCTAACCTGGGGGAAGGTGGGGTCCTTTCTTCTTTCCTTTTGAGAAGCACTGAAACTCCCAAGTGTGTTCTTATCCCATGGATAGGAAACCAGTGAATTCCGTGGCTGGCACACCACGAGCTGTCAACGCGGCACGGGTCATAACATATCTGGGTGTCATCGGACACCTCGCCTCACCCACCCTGTAGGAGCGTAAGGAGCCTCCATCCTCAGCCACGTGCCGCTGACGTGGCTTTCCTGATCGGAGGGCTTTTCTTTCTTTTATGGGTGGCCCAGCTTCTTCAAGACCTTCACTACTCTGCCTCAGTGGACAGTCGTTTCCTTTCTGAGGTGTGACCTTTTGTTTTCATGCCTTCCCCTTGAAGTCATCCTGTGTTTTGTAATCAGCTGTCAGGCCAAATGTCTGACCCGAAAGAGAATGTATTTACACTAGTGCTGCGTTCAGCAGCCCCTCTGTGTTCTGTGTGATTTGTTTTACTTTTCCTTTTTTTAAAAAATATATATGCAGGGAGGTAATGGTACTGGTAGTGTATGTTTTCTGTGTGGTTCAAATATGAATTTCAAACACACCAAGCCGCTAATGAGATAGCAGCTTTTTTCTGGGACCCAGAGTCACAACCAAATTGATTTAAGACCAGACCCAAGACACCTTTAACAGTAAGACTGAAAGGAAAAAGGATAGGGAAAAAGCTTATTTAAAGAAATGTGTCAACACCAAATGTAGAGGGGAAGAACCACAACCAGGCATAATACCAAACTGGTTCCGGGGGAAGCAAGGCTTTGGCATTCCACTGGCTCCAGCGCTTCCTCCAAAACCCAAGACTGGCCAGGGTGCTGTCACCGTGCAGTCTTTGATTGCAGCCATTCAGTGCCCACGTTTTGCCTTCTTGTTTCAGAAGAGCACGTGGTCACAACAAAGTATTTTCTTTCCCTCCAAAGCCTTTTGTCTCCTTGTGCCACTTTTTATCCTTAGGAAAAGATCCAGGTGCTTGTGAAAAGAACCATGAATGCAACAAGGGAGGCTGGTCCTGTTGCTGTCGCCGATGAAATTTTTAACTTTTATTTATTATTTATGTCTGCCGTATTTTAAATAAACATTCTCGTTCCTTCCAGTTCCAGTCATAGTGTGTCTGTGGCATTCCAGTCCAACCACGTAACTTATTTATTCTAATTTGAGGGCTGCACTGTACATCATGGTGTCCCGTGACACTGTGTTCCAGACATTTATGGAAGGAAAACATCCCACGTAAATGAAACTGTCGTTCTGTGTCCTCCCTCGCAGCAGCAGATGTGTCCTTCCATTGAGTGAGGGTGACCTTATGTCCAGCAGGGGATACTTTGAGAAAGCCCCTAAGGAGCAAGCCTCAGTCCCACGGTTTCAGACTATTTATTCTCTGAACACAAGAGTATTGGTTAATTACGTTCTCAGCTCTCCTTGCTGTTACATGTGTGCACTCACTGCAAGTAACTTATATCTTTTTATTTGAATGTATTTTAAAGCGGTAGATAGAATAACAAAGGAATATGAAAACCATGGACTGAATGGACCATTTTATGTATTCAGAGAGAGGAGCCACTCATCGTTGCCAGATATACCATGTAAAAATTGGCAGTTCAGAGGTTGCAATATTTAGTATAGTAAATAAATAAACGATCAACATTGTGCAACCACTACCAAAAAGTGTGTTGTAATGCATCAAAAATCAACAAAATTTTATTCACTAATGAGTATCAATAAAATAAGTTCAAATGATGGAAACCACACCGGTATTCTGATTTGTATTTTGTTTTTATCTTTTCATCAAGGAGACGATCTCTTTATGTAAGACTTGAAAGTGTTTAGCTCTTTGCAAAATTAAATGAAAGGCATATACTTCACATACTGTTATATGCCTTCTTTCTTTCAACATGATATCATACGTTAGATAACTTTCCAATCAGACTCTGAAGATGTCCCTCACTTTTCAGGGCTGTGTACTATTCCAGTGTGTGCATACACCTGCTATGAATATATACATGCCTTTATGAACCATCCCTTACAGATGGTCACTGGGATAATTCTTTTTTCTTTCCTTTTCTTTTTCTTTCTTTTTCTTTTTTTTTTTTTTTGAGACAGGATCTCACTCCATTGCCCAGGCTGCAGTGCAGTGGTACAAACATGGCTTACTGCAGCCTTGACCTCCTGGGCTCAAGTAATCCTCCTGTCTCAGCCTTCCAAGTAGCTGGGATCACAGGTGTGTGCCACCATGCGCAGCTAATTTTTATTTATTTTCTATTTTTTGTAGCGATGGGGGTCTCACCATGTTGCCCACACTGTTCTTGAAGTCCTGGGCTCAAGTGGTCCTCCTGCCTCAGCCTCCCAAAGCACCGAGATTATAGGTGTGAGCCACTGTGCCTGGTGTCACTGGGTTAATTCTTATCTTTTGCTATCAAAGTACTGTAATGTAAAAACCTTACATGTATGCAATTGTCCACATATGTGAATACATCTATGAAATAAATTCCTAGATGGTTATTGCCAAATTGCCTTTCATAGAGCTGTGTTAAGAGACAACCAAGGACAGTGGAGGTCCACCAGATGGAGAATTGTGAGAAGAACAAAAGAAAATAAATATTCTGCCACCTCAATATTTGAAAGCAGTGAGATTATGCAAACAAACACTGTGGTAGGATGTGGCATCATGGATTTTAAGTCAGGTGCTAACCATTTGGCAGTGGTGTGACCTTGGGCAAGCCACTTACCATCTTTAGGTCCTCCATTTTTTCTTTTTTTTAACCTGTGACATGAGAACAGTAATGCACCTTAGAGTTAACTGTTGAGTAAATGTATTTTGAGCACCTACCATGTGCCAGGCATTGTAGGTACTGGGGACGAGCAAGTGAGCCAGTTTCTGCTGTCACGGAGTGTACAATCTAGAGAGAACAACACCAAGTGTAGAATAACAAGGGCTGTGCAGATAATTAAAATAGGGTGGTGTGAAGGAGTGAGTGGCTGCTTTGGATTGGACAGTAAGAGAAAGCCACTCCAGGGAGGGGCACTTGAGTGAAGCATGTGAGATCTGGCACAAGAGCATTTCGGCAGAGAGAGCAGCTAGTGTAAAAGCCCAGAGGCAGAAAAGCACTTCGGTGCATTTGAAGAACTAAGAGAAGGCCTGTGTGGTAGTGGGCTGGTAGGATCAAGGGAGTGCGGTGGTAGCAGAAATGATGGTGCTCACCAAATGATTCGTCTGATCCCCATTTCCCAGCCATTGCTGTTGGGCAGGTCACGTGATTAGTGGCTGGCCAGTGGGCAATAAGCAGAGAAAAATCAGTGCATGACTTTGTGCACCTCTCTTCCTGTGTGTTAAACCCTCAGGTCACGTATTGAAGTGCTGGAGTCTCCATCATCCTGAGTCCCCAAATATGTGGACCAGAGCTTCCTGCCAACCTGTTTGACATGTAACCTGATGGAGAAATAAACTTTGTTGTTAAGCCAGTAAGATTTTTTGATAGTGCATTAGAACCCCGGGTGTAGGACCTAGGTATCTGTGTTTTAACAAGCCCTCAAGATGATTCTGGTGTGCACCAAAGTTTGAGACCCACTGCACTAGACCAGGTGGAGTCTGGGTGGGAGTTCTGCTGTGGGAGGCAAATTCTCCTTTCCAGTCTCTCTTTGTCTCAGAGCTCTAAGAAGGCCAGATAGCCATAGCCCATCTTACTTGAAGGGAAGGGAGAGAGAGAGAGTGGGTGGGCTTAACTGCCCAGCAGGGGCAGGGAAAGCTTTGAGGTAAGGTGACCCTGTATCTGGGTTTCCAGGATTTGCCAAGTGGGGGAGGCATTCCAAGCAGAGGAAGGATGGAAAGGGGATCCTAGAATGCATTCCTCTATGCCCTTCCTTACAGTAGAAGGAAGGTGAATGACAAATACAGAAGGGACAATAGAACTAGAAAAACAACCATTTGGCCGGGTGCAGTGGCTCATGCCGGTAATCCCAGCACTTTGGGAGGCCGAGATGGGTGGATCGCCTGAGGTTGGGAGTTCGAGACCAGCCTGACCAACATGGAGAAACCCTGTCTCTATTAAAAATACAAAATTAGCCGGGCATGGTGGTGCATGCCTGTAATCCCAGGTACACAGGAGGCTGAGGCAGGAGAATCGCTTGAACCTGGGAGGCAGACGTTGCGATGAGCTGAGATCGTGCCATTGCACTCCAGAACAAGAGCAAAACTCCGTCTCAAAAAACAAAAAAACAACCATTTTGAAACCACAATACTAACTAATTCAGACAACAATGGATGTTAAAACCATTGGGTAAAAATTCCTTAGGCAGCAGAATATTTACACCCATTGTATCTTCCCACAAAATGCTTATTAATTTACAAAGGAGGGAAGATATATTTGCAGTGGATAACTCTGTGGTACACCACTTTAAACAAGTCGTAAAATGTAATGTTGCCCAAAATGGGACAAACTGCTATAAGACATCACCTGTTATGAGATGTACTGGGAGGGACACGCATCCTGCTGTGCTGTTCCTGCCACAAACGCAAAACCTGAACCATGTGGTTGACAAATTGAGGGACATTTATCATTTTGTAAAACAATGTACCTATCCCTTTAAACATTGTCAGTATCATGGCAAAGACTGAGGAACTGTTCCAGATTAAAGGAGGATGAAGAGACAAGGCAACAAATGTAATTCATGATCTGAATGGGAAAAAATGCTATAAAAGACAGTGTTGGGGCAATCAGAAATTTGAATATAGAGCACGTATTTTTTAAATTGTATCAATATGAAATTTACTGAGTTTGATAATTGCACTGTGGATATGTAAGGGCATGTCCTATTTCCTAGGAGCTAAAGGATTAAGATAAAGGGGCTTGGTGTCTGCAAGTCACTTTGAAGTGCTTTCAGAAAAAGTAAAGAATAAACTTAAAAAATAATAAAAAGGTGTAGGAGCAAAACGAGTTCATTTCAAACGGCAGGAAGCCTTCTACTGATAGATGTTTTGTAAACCCTAGAAGGCATTCTTCTGTCTCATGTGTGATGGGAGGATGTTCAAGGTGGTTTGGTGCATCTTCCCTGTTCTATGCCAAATTTCTTCATGTGTACCCCAAGCCGTTCTCCCAGCCCAGGAAGTTCAAAAGAGGACGTCATGGCCTAAGGGAGAAGTTGTCAAAGAGGCATTTGGTGAGACCAGAAAACAAAGATAGTAAAATTCCTGGTTTTCAAATATGAGGAAGGACGAAGCTGAGTATGTGTTTTGGTGTGAGACCAAAAGATTTAGAAGGAAACTTGTGGAGCCAGTTTTTCTCTCTCGCTTAAAAAAAAAAAACATATTTTAAAATTTTTAAAGCATCAAGTTGGTGAAATAGTTTCTCTTTTTACTGCTTACTCCTCCTCTGCTACTCCTGCTTGCCAAACACAAAGGACAAGGACTTCATGCAGATTCTCCAGGCCATGGGTGTTGGAGAGGGATGACAGCGTTCAACCGGCGTGGAAGCCTTTCTCCTTTCCGTCTGGGCCACATCCAAGGTTATAGGAGAAGCCCTTGATGAGTTTGGGACTCCAAGGGCAGATGAGCTCATTTGGCAGGGGTCCTGGGGAAGTAAGGATGTTCCAGAGCCCCTCCCCAGCAACTCACCCTATCACAGGGCAGGGACCACATGGGGCAGTGAGGAAGTACAAGTGCCAGCAGATGCGTCTCAGTGGAGAAGTCCCAGGAGATCCTGAAGTACCTGGCCTCAGACAGATGTGGGAATCATTCCACACGTTGTCTGGGAGCAGAGAGGCAGGTACGTCCTGAAGAGCCTTGCCAACAGGACAAAGGAAGTGGACACCAGCCTCCCCCGCAGCTCTAGCCAGGGCCAGCACCCAGAACCTAGATGCCACCTGTGGAGAAGTTGGTGGAGGAGGAAAGTCATGCTGAATTGCCTGAGTCGATTGAGAGCTTATAATAGGGATTAAGTCGAGATTTAGAAAAAAATGAAATTTTTTGTACATCTGAGCTCATAGCTCAGAGACATCATATCCTAAAAGGATTTCTTCTTCTGTAGCCAGCAGAGGGCGCTTGGAGACTGCAAAAGACGCTTGGAGACTGCAAAAGACTTGCCCTAATCCAATCACAAGATCAGATAGGTTTGCTTTTCCCCCGGAAAGTAGTTCAGGGCGGGCAACTCTGCCTCCTGGAGCCCCCAACACCCTCACTGTAAATAGAGTGCTTGTTTCTGCGGGTGCAAGCTGAGAGGAAATGACCAGGAAGAAGGCCTGGCCCCTCACATTCCAGAGCCCCTCCCTGGGGCCAGGAGTCTGGCATCCCGTCTGGAGCTTCAGTGGATTCTCGGGGCTGCTGTGGTTGGCAGGGGGGTGGGGGGCGGGTAGGGGTGCCATGCCAAATACCCAAGGACTCCTAAGGTGGACGAGTCTTCCCTCCTGAGCCTGGGTTCCTCCGTTCCACTCTTCCTCTCAAGATGTCCCGAGTCCTCGCTCAGTCCGACTCAGTTCCATGCTGCTCTGTGGATCCATAGAGGAAGGGACACAGCCCCAGCCCTTGAGAGGGGCTGCCTCTGCGAGGGCAGCAGAAGTGGTCATGACAGTGGAGGGAGTCCCTGTGCTTGGGGGCTCAGGAACCACTTGAGGGAAGGCATGAGCATGGTCTCAGTTCTCCAGGGGAACTGGAGGGAGGCATTCCAGAACAAGAGGACAGCACGTGCACAGGCTTGGGGGGCAAGTGAAGAAATTAATCATAGAATGAGGAGGAAGCCCCCTTGCCTATCATGCTG